CTTGCTCTGTTCTGTGATGCACGTTCGTTTCAACATAATCGTGTATTACGTGACGTCACGAACGCGTATCACAGAACAGAAAATTGAAACTCATTTGGACCTTGAACCATTTGGGGTTTATTGAAGTCCATTATATGGAGAAAAATCCTGGAATGTTTTCATCAAAAACCTTAATTTCTTTTCGACTGAAGAAAGAAAGACATGGACATCTTGGATGACATGGGGGTGAGGAAATTATCAGCAAAACTTTTTTTAAAGTGAACTACACTAATGAGGCACAAAACATTCATCACAGAGTCAACGATGCCAGGTTTATTAGATGAAACCAGAGAAGAATTGTGTTATTTTTATGCCCTATTTGTGAAATCATGGTTTACGAAATCCGCAATTTTGATAGCCTAATTCATTTAGAATAGCTGAATAATTATTTGTGTTTTTAATCCCTGCACAGGCGAATGTTTCCATTCCTGAGTTTCAATATTACCGGCCTGAGCCTGACGACGCATTATAACGTGTTTGTGGAGATTGTCTTGGCGGATCCGAATCACTGGAGATTCCAGGGCGGGAAATGGGTCACGTGCGGGAAAGCCGACAATAATATGCAAGGTATGGAAGAAGCCAAGTGCTATTGTTAGATATTATTATTATTATTTAATCATATTAAAATTATTAAATATATTAATATTATTATGCTGTTGTATTTTATTGTTTCAGGGAATAAGATTTACGTCCACCCCGAATCGCCGAATACAGGCGCTCATTGGATGAGACAAGAAATATCTTTCGGTAAACTGAAACTAACAAACAACAAGGGAGCAAATACCAACACTTCACAGGTAAACAATGCACATTTATTTTATGAGTAGGCTACAACAATTAGCTACTGATGCTTAAACCAGAACTATTGTGCTTTTTGGGCCTGTTTTAGTAATCAAATGAAATAAATAAAAGCAAACTTTTAAATAATCTTTTGACATTGACTGGAAGAACAAGTACTAATATTAAATAGCTTATTGGTGAATGTGATTTTGTCCTGGAACAGCATTCCAATTAACCAGATCTGATGGACACGTTTATATAGTTTATGCCAAGTCTGTGCTTCTACATCAGGGTTATTCAGCATTTCCCTCTGTTTTTGGATAAGTTAGCCTATAGTTAGAGATTTTCAGTCAGTGTTGTTCCAGAATCCAGATTGAAAATATACTGGGCAAAATCACCATTAAATGATGTGCATTTAATAGTCTTGTTTGTGTGTCCAACTCAGATGATTGTCCTCCAGTCTCTACACAAGTACCAGCCGAGGCTTCACATCGTTGAAGTGTCCGACGACGGGATTGAGAACACAGGCCGAGACTCTCGGACTCAGATCTTCACCTTCCCGGAGAACCAGTTCATAGCGGTCACAGCCTACCAGAACACTGATGTACACACTCTTTCTGAGCATTAATAACCCTCTGCTGCTATTCGCGTGTTTATTTATTTTATTTAAATGAAATTAATGTACTATATTTTAGTTTTTTATGTATTTAGAATCCATTTATTCACTTTTTGAGCATTAAAGTTCCAACATAAACTGTGGTGAATCTTGAATGCTTTAGAGAAACAGACTGAAGTTTGATCTCTTCTCAAAGACGACCGCAGATTATTGCTGAAGTGAAAAAAAGTTACAGAATTTTATATTTACTGTTATGAAAAAAGTGCAAAAATACTATTTTCAATTGTTATATATATATACAAATTGAAAATAATATATATATTAAAAACATGTTTTACTCTAAAACTGTGAGAAAATCAAATTAGCCATAAACCTAAACTAGTGTGTATTCCGCATGTGAGCTGATCTCCGTAAACGAGCGTTCAGTGAGTGTGTGTTCGCTGCAGTTCCGCACGCGTCCGCTAGAGGAAACTCTCTTTTTACAAAGCGCTGATTTCTGACCGCGAGGCGCTCAAGTGACTTTTTTTTTTTTTTTTTAAACCTGTTTTGTCATTTAACCTGTTTGTGTGTGTTTACATAGCAAGTGGCAAAACATTTACCAAGTTTTGTACCATTCCAATCAAGAAAAAAAAGTTAAAAATAAAAAATAAAATAAAAAGTTATGCTCTTCGGTCTAAAATTATATGCACGAAACAACCCGGTCTCACTAAATGCGTCTATATAGCACGCTTTCTGTTATTGCGTGCATATGATATTTAGTAGTGGTGTGTATTAGGTTTGGGTATGGTTAGAGGTGTGGAGGGCGTGTGTATTACACGCAATAAAGTGCGTATCACATCCATGCTAAAACTAATTTTCGCGTATAAATTCCACGATAAACACGTGTACAGACAATACGTGTGCATTTTCAAGAGCTCAGGCTGGGACTACACACACACACACACACACACAGTTATTAACACTCACTCCTGTGTCGTTCCTCTAGATCACTCAACTGAAGATCGACCACAATCCTTTCGCGAAAGGCTTCAGAGATAACTATGACTCGTGAGTATGATGAGCATCACTGAGGTTACCCCGCATGTATTCTCTCGGTTGACACTAACATGCATTGGATTTTCAGGATGTACACGCTCGCGGAGCGTGAAAGACTGACGCCTTCGCCGACGCACTCGACGCGCGCGCAACAGATCGTGCCAAGCGCGCGCTACACCGTGCAACCTTTTCTGCAGGATCAACTCAACAACCGGCTGTACAGCGGCGAGCAGACCAGTGGCGGCAAACTGGAGCTCACGGCCTACGAGGGAGATTACTCCAGCTCGCTGTTACCCTACAGCTTCAAGTCTTTACCTCTCCAGAGCGCGCACTCGCTCGGGTACTATCCTGAAGGCGCGTTCGCGTCCGTGACCGCGGGATGGGGCACGAGAGGCTCGTACCCGAGGAAAGTGCCCTGGTCTCCCAGACCGAATCCCACAGATGAGCACATCATCATACCTGACAAAGACCGAGCTCAGGAGGAAAGTCCTGTGAGCGCGTTCGCGCAGAACTGGATGGAGAGCGCGTCCTCGCTGAAGCCTTCAGACTCTGTGGAGCCCAGCGTTTACTCGCTCGTGTGCAAGAGGAGGCGGCTTTCCCACGCAGAATCCGGCACTGGGAACTCGCCCAATTGTCAAGAAGACTCGGAAAACTTTAACAAGGACACTTCCTCCCCGAAGGCGATCGGCTATTACGCGTTCTACGCCGCCAGCTAGAGGAACACTTCCAAACGCTCGCGCACTCTCAAAAATAAAGGTTCCGAAAGGGCGTTTTACAATTGATGAACAATTTTTGGTTCCCGAAATGAGGAACCTTTATTTTTGAGAGTGATTGTTTGAATTTATCAACTTGGTCCTTTTGTAATATATTTAAATCTGTCCCTAATGCATTATTTCTGTGCACGTTCAATGTCATTTCGAAAATGCTGTTATGTGTAGCTATTAAACGACTGCTGTTTTGGATTTGGTATATTCTTAAAAACATTTTATTTTTTTTAATATACACTCTTACAAATAAAATAAAGGTTCATTACGTTAAATTGATGGTTCTGTGAAGAACCTTTAACATCCTGGAATCTTTTCATCGCATGAAAGGTTCTTTATAGTGGAACTATAACTTTGGGTAAATAAAATTACACTAAATAATAATAAGAATAAAGGAGCTTTTAAGAACTGATCACTGAAAGGTTCTTTGGGGAACCAGAAACTGCTCTTCTGCGAAAAACCCCTCTAAAATCTTTATTTGTTTTTAAGAGTGTACAGAATTAATTGAATATCTTAGACATGATATGGGTGTAAAAGAAATATTACCAAAGAGCTTTGAAAACTGGTTAAAATTATTCAAATCATTGAATCCAAATGCAAAAATTTTACAGAAAATCAATGATCAGAAAAAAAACGCAGAATATAATGTGTTTGGTAAATAATGGAAACGGAAAATTAAACCTCATATATGGTGGATTATTACAAGAATCCAGAAGTAAACTCAACATTGAAGTTCTACAAACAGAGATACTGAGATGTTGTAGAGCACACACTGTCCTCTAGTGTCCGAACAGCAGAACCTCAACAATATCTGTCAGTTTGGTCTCATAATCTCAAATGAAAGGGTTCAGTGATTAGAAATATCATTCAGAGTAAAAATAGTGAAATATTATTATGATGTAAATCATCTGTTTTCTATGTGAATATATAGTAAAGTGTAATTTATTCCTGTGATTTTCAGCATCATTACTCCAGTCTTCAGTGTCACATGATCCTTCAGAAATCACTCTAATATGAGGATCTGATGATCAAGACACATTTATGATTATTATCAATGTTGAACACTCTTTCATGTTTTTGTGAAACCGTGATACATTTTATTTTTCAGGATTCTCTGATGAATAGAAAGTTTAAAAGGGCAGCCTTCGTAACATTATGAATGACTTTTAATCAATTTAATGCATCCTAGCTGAATAAATGTATGAACTCATTAGCTTATTTTATAAAATTTAGAATTCATTCATTTATAATAAAGTATTAATTTGTTTTGTTTTTTAATTTTTAAAAATGACAGTTTTCACATATTTTGTAAAAATATAAAGCACTTCAACTGTTTTTCAACACTGATAATAATAATCATAAATGTTTCTTGATCATCAGATCCTCATATTAGAGTGATTTCTGAAGGGTCATGTGACACTGAAGACTGGAGTAATGATGCTGAAAATCACAGGAATAAATTACACTTTACTGTATATTCACATAAAGAACAGATGATTTACATCAGAATAATATTTCACTGTATTTTTTCATCTTAATTATTTCAAACTTTTGATTGCCAGTACGAGATGCTGTGAGACGGCAAATTAACAAAATCACTAGAGAAAAAACACAAAATCAATTTATTAAAATAAGCAAAGTTTCAACCTGATTGCATATTTTAATAAAGAGATTTTGTGTTTATTCTTCAGTGAAGAGCTTTGTCTGATCCGAACGTTTCTGGATGTGCGCACTAGCAAAACTACAACAAAATCAACAACAACAACAATAATAATAATAATAAATGAACTTTATATAGCAGCTATAAAATGCACAGAGCTTTGCAACATAAACATTCAAATGCATTAAGAAGAAAAAAAAAGAAAAAAACCTTTAAATAGTTGCACATGATGATGTATGAGATTGAGGGAAAGTCCTGATGTGCAGAAGCTCCACACACACACAATCAGATCAGTGTGTGTAAGTGAGTGAGTTTCTCGGACACACACACACTCGGACGGCTGTTTTCAGTCATGCATGTACAGCTCCTAAAAATACTGAAATCTCAAAAACAACCCGTAGTGCAATCATACACACACTATCTGACACAAATCCTGTCATAAACATCCGCATATAACGGCAAAAACTAAAAAATTGTCGAAAAATTCGTGTGCAAAGTTTCTGATAGCAAGTCTTCCGGAGAGTTCTGAAGCCGAACGGGTGACGGAGATGCACACTACTGAGGGTCCTAGACTCAAACACAGTCAGTGAAGCTCTAGTTTTAGAGATTGATCTGGAACACATGAGTGGTCTCAGACTTGGATGGATTTCCTGCTGCGATGCAGTTCATCGATCCATCTCCTCTTGTCCCATCGGGCAGCAGAAGCTCTAGAGAGCGTTGAGCGTCGCTCATCCTGCGGGAACACAGAAACACTCATTCCTCATCCTCATATACACACTGCAGCGTCAGCTCTGTCTCTCAGGGTCTCAAACGCTTCCTTTGAAGATTCAGTCTCTCTAAGCCCCGCCTCTCTGAGAGCAGCTCTGCTCTGATTGGTCAGAAAGCACTCATTATCATTTCTGAATCTCAGCTCCTGACACAATGGTACGAACAGTAAGGATAGCGTGGGTTTTACCCATAGCCTGTAAATAAAAAATGTTCGTAGTGTGGGCGGAGCCGGCCGTCGCCATCTTGGCCGCGCGTCACTCCCGAATAGACGAACGTGTGCAGAGGCGGATTAGCTGAAAAAAATATTCATCCCCTCACAGTCGTCATGAAGGGCAAAATTAGCGATATAGATCAAAACTACTGTTTTTTTCTGCTGCAAAGTTGGGCATTTTAACATGCGTGTCTATGGGAGTGAGTCTCTTCTGCAGCGCCTCTAGTGGCCAGTGGAGGAACTGCAGGTTAATCACTTCAGCGCTCAAGAGAGAGAGCGGGCGGCTGCCGCTTGGTTTTACCACATCAGTCTCGGCTCAGACTCGCCCCTTACCTCATAGGCCGGCGGATCTGAAGGCGGGACCGGACTGTAGTAGGACGGGGGTGATGATGCGGGACGCCGGTCCATGACATCACTGACCACATCAGGTGATGCGGAGCTCATGTGGATCACCATCAGACGCTTCCTCTGCACATGCACAGAAGAGAGATGTAAACACATCAACCAAAATATGATTAAACTAACTCAATTTCATTAAGATAGAATTGAATTAAAATGGAAAATGTAATATTAATAATAAAATTGTAGTTCATGCATTAGATTAATTAACTTAATTAACTTGATTCAAATAAAAATACATTAATAAATAAAAATAAATCTTGATTTAAATAAATAAAATAAGAAAAGCAGTGTAATTTGATTTAAATTTGATTTAGGAAAAAATAATCAGATTAAATAGTCAGACTAAAATAAATTGATTATTTAAATAAAACCTGATTTAATAAATAAAAATAAGAAAAGCAGTGTAAAATGTGAAAATAAATAAATAAGATTAAACTAAGTTTTACTAGGATCACAATTAAGATAAATAATATAATATTTATTTAAACTTTAAATACAAAATATTTAATACATTCGATCAAAACTTATTAATTAAAAACAAAAATAGAAAATAAATAAAAATGATTAAAATAAAATTTAAATAAATACAAATAAGAAAAACAGTGTAAATAAATAAATGTATTAAACATTTGTATTTAAATAAATAAATACATTTTATAAAAAATAACATGAATATATTCATATGAATGAATAAAACATCTAACAGTGCAGTGCAACAGTAAGTATAAAAAAAACAAGGATGTAATGCTAATATTTTACACATTTGTAATACTAAGTCTTTGTAAATGAAAACATAGAGCTGCCTTTAAAATGTTAGGGTGGCGGCCCCTCACGAGGATGATCATATTTAGGGGTCCGGGGCATCAGACCGAAGCCCACCACAGATGACGCTGGAGATTAAAGAAACACTGATTTACCGATTTACACCAGCAGCACAAGGTGGCGAAGATGATGACGGAGAGGAGGAGCGCCACAGCGTTACAGGCCATGAACGCCACTTCAGTCGGACCCAGAGAAGGGGCCAAGAACTACAACCAGAATCACAAACACCTCAATATTCATAAACATCAGTAATATAGTCATTATTAGGACCACAGATGAATCTTAAATCAGGCAAATGACGACTCACCACACGCACACTCGACGTGACGTAGAACAAGAGGAAGAAGATGATGAAGACGGTCAGAGAGCTGAAGATGTTGAACAGGTTCAGAACTTGAGCGGTGACCACCTGAACAAACAGAATTCATAAAGCACTTCTGCTTGCTCACATGAAACAGTTCAGCACATCGGGTCATGTGAGGCGGTGGATTACACTGACCAGACACGGGTTGCGGGTACAGGCAGCGATGGCTGTAACGACTCCGTTTAAAATCAACTACAGACACACAAAACAACATGATACAAGACAGCACACAAATATCAACAATATTCAGCATGCATTTACACTACATCTGACTCTCTTCTGTTCACCAAGTCTGTGTTTATTTGATAAAAAAACTGTGAAATATTAATACAGTGTAAATCAGCTGTTTCTATGTGAATATATATGTGAGTAAAAAAGTGTAAATTATTTCTGTGATCAAAGCTGAATTTTCAGCATCATTACATCTTCAGTGTGTGTCACATACGCTCAAAATAAAACACTCACATAGCAAGTTGGTATTAAAAACCAACGCTCGTAATTCCAAAAGACGAGTCCAAACGCCACGCCACCGGTCAGGATCTCCAGCCACTGACGGATAAAACACAAGATGTTTTGCTCAGCTTGTAGCCACCAGCAGTACTAGTTAAGAGTGTTGATCACTAGTTAAGAGTGTTGATCACTAGTTAAGAGTGTTGATCTCTAGTTAAGAGTGTTGATCAGCAGCTTCACTAGTTAAGACTGTTGAACATCAGTTGTTTGACTAGTTAAGAGTGTTGATCAGCAGTTTCACTAGTTAAGAGTGTTGATCTCTAGTTAAGAGTGTTGATCAGCAGTTTCACTAGTTAAGAGTGTTGATCTCTAGTTAAGAGTGTTGATCACTAGTTAAGAGTGTTGATCACTAGTTAAGAGTGTTGATCTCTAGTTAAGAGTGTTGATCAGCAGTTTCACTAGTTTAGAGTGTTGATCTCTAGTTAAGAGTGTTGATCACTAGTTAAGAGTGTTGATCACTAGTTAAGAGTGTTGATCTCTAGTTAAGAGTGTTGATCTCTAGTTAAGAGTGTTGATCAGCAGCTTCACTAGTTAAGACTGTTGAACATCAGTTGTTTGACTAGTTAAGAGTGTTGATCAGCAGTTTCACTAGTTAAGAGTGTTGATCACTAGTTAAGAGTGTTGATCACTAGTTAAGAGTGTTGATCACTAGTTAAGAGTGTTGATCTCTAGTTAAGAGTGTTGATCTCTAGTTAAGAGTGTTGATCAGCAGCTTCACTAGTTAAGACTGTTGAACATCAGTTGTTTGACTAGTTAAGAGTGTTGATCAGCAGCAGTTTCACTAGTTAAGAGTGTTGATCAGCACCAGTTTCACTAGTTAAGAGTGTTGATCAGCAGTTTCACTAGTTAAGAGTGTTGATCACTAGTTAAGAGTGTTGATCACTAGTTAAGAGTGTTGATCTCTAGTTAAGAGTGTTGATCAGCAGCTTCACTAGTTAAGACTGTTGAACATCAGTTGTTTGACTAGTTAAGAGTGTTGATCAGCAGCAGTTTCACTAGTTAAGAGTGTTGATCAGCACCAGTTTCACTAGTTAAGAGTGTTGATCAGCAGCTTCACTAGTTAAGACTGTTGAACATCAGTTGTTTGACTAGTTAAGAGTGTTGATCAGCAGCAGTTTCACTAGTTAACAGTGTTGATCTCTAGTTAAGAGTGTTGATCAGCAGTTTCACTAGTTAATACTGTTGAACATCAGTTGTTTGACTAGTTAAGAGTGTTGATCAGCAGCAGTTTCACTAGTTAACAGTGTTGATCTCTAGTTAAGAGTGTTGATCAGCAGTTTCACTAGTTAAGACTGTTGAACATCAGTTGTTTGACTAGTTAAGAGTGTTGATCAGCAGCAGTTTCACTAGTTAACAGTGTTGATCTCTAGTTAAGAGTGTTGATCAGCAGCAGTTTCACTAGTTAAGACTGTTGAACATCAGTTGTTTGACTAGTTAAGAGTGTTGATCAGAAGGTTTACCCCCAGAACCGCCGGGTTGATCTTCAGGAACCCTGTCACTCCGGGTGCGTCTCCGGGCTTCGACTCTGTGATGTAAACGGGACACGCAGACTGATCCTGCTGAGCTCCAGTGTTGATGATCACTTCGACTTTTCTCGACATCTTTAGACACTTTAGAGAGGGAAATAAGTTTCCAGATCACACGTGTTTTCTTGGCTGTCAGCTGCAGATAATTCTTAGACAGGATAATTCAGTCATTGTTCACTGACATTCTTTAAGTGAACAAACCAGACGAACCTGCAGTTGCTGCAATGACTCAAGACTTTCAAAAACTCCGATCCTCTAATAAATCTTCATTCATTCAGCTTTAGGTCTAAAGGTCTTAACCACTGCTATTTAAATTACTCTTTTGTTTTATTCAGTGATGAGCTGGTTTGAGTAGTTTATGGGTCAAATCAGAGACGAATCATTAGCAGCAGAAATCCCCAAACAAGCTCCAAACGACAGGAGTTTCCTTCATTTATTCCATGAAGTCTAACTTCTTAACATCAGTGCATCAACATACAATTTTAGCATATTTCATGTTTGTTCGCAGATATCTAGCCAATTTTTTTTATCTTAAATATATTTTAGTAAATGTTGCAACTAACATTATGATTAATAAATGCTGTAGGGGTTTGTTAATTTAGTTCAGCAGGATTTTTATCTAACATTAACAAATTAAGCCTTATTGTAAAAACCAATAAAGAAGATTCAACATCAAAATAGCCAAGTAGCATAAAGATTTTTGGTAACACTATACAATAAGGTTCATTAGTTAAAATTAGTTAACTAGCTTAGTCAACTTGAACTAAGAATGACAAATACTTATACAGCATTTATTAATCTAATTGTTAAGATCAAAGGTTGGATGTTAACATTAGCAAATGAACTAACATGAAAACAACGAAACCTGGATTAACTAACTTTAACAAAGATTAACAAATACAGCATCAAGTGTATTGATCATTGTTAGTGAATTATGAGCCTTATTGTAAAGAGTTACCAGATCTTTTTCTGACTTTGTCCTCAACTTCAGATCTGCAGTGTGTGGTGTGTAAAGTTACTGAAGTCAGTGTGTGTTGAGAGTGTTTTACCTCGATGTTGTTTTTGCTCTGGTTGTCTCCGTCATCAGGAGAAACTGCACCTAAACATGCAGAGAATGTGTGTGTGTGTGTGTGTGTGACTGACGTCACGAATCAGAGCAACACTACAGTAGTTCATCTCTGTCCTGTAAGTTATGATGGTGACTAAAACACACCCACACACACGATTACGCAAGCTCTTTATATTGCAAATGTAACCGAGACCAGCCAATAATAGCCGTGCATGGAAACCCGAGTCACGTGGTCTCGAGTCTTAAAACGCCACAAGAAATTAAGTACATTTAATAATTCTTCCGCCGGATACCAAGATATCTGCGTTTCTCGCTTCCGGTGGGGGATTTGCGGGCCTGTATCTCGGGCTGACCCTGATCCTTCAGATCCAACTGAAAATAAAGAATTAAAAGACAAACAAGCCACTCACAGAAAGTGTGTTGAGCTTCAGATAAATATGAAAGCTTTGAAGTTATTCAATATTTCAGTCACAATATTTTTGTCCGCTTTTTAAAGAGCAGCCAGTGTGTGAAATATGACACCATGAGCTTAATGTGGACATTATTGAGACAGACACTTTTTGTGTTCATGTAAAGTCTTTAATTGTGAATAAAAACAGCATGAAAAGCACAAAAAAATGACTTAAAAACAGTACAGGAGAGGAATAGAGACATTTCCAAAGAGAAAAACAGAATGACAGAAAATATTTACACACAATTATTAGTTTGAGACACGGTCACTAAAACTACAGCGTTTAAAAGAGCAGCTGGATAACTAGTGTTCACACACACACACACACACACACACTGATTAATGCGTGTGTGAATGGACTGAAGTATACTTCTGTGATTGTAATAGAGTAAAGGTTTAGTTTGCCGGTGATTAACACGTGAATATATAAGTAGTGTACGAGTGTTGATTATAGAGTTATTCTGAGTTTCTGTAACATTATAGCGAGTAAAAGCCCGTGTGGACGGCACAGGAACAACGACTCAACACACACACTTCACTTTTTGAAGAATTTCTTGTTGAGAAGGAAGATGAGCAGATTAACGTTGACTTTGGCTTTATCGAACATCTTCATCACGGACACTTCCTCGTACTGAAGCTGCAGCAGATCCTGCACACACACACACACACACACACACACACACACACACACACACACATTATTTCTCATGTTTCATCCTCAAATACCATTAAGCACCTGTGAGATGCACATCAGGACGCGCGCACACACACACATCACATCACCTGATACTTGAGAGGGAATCTCTCCATGTCCACACCCATGAAACGAGCCTTCACCAGGAACGCCCCGTCCTCCTCAGCGGGAATGATGTCAAAGATCACGTTCTTAAACCTGCGCACACACACACACACACACACACACACACACTCTACTCATTTGCTTAATCACTGATGAGGTCAGAGTGTTCGATGGCGACTGCAGCAGCGGATCTGATAATGTGATGTGTGTGTTTGTTACACGTGAGTGTGTATATGAGAGTGTTTGCGTGTGTGTGTGTGTGTGTCGTACTGTGTGACAGGAAGGTCTTCGATCTCCAGCAGAACTCCTTTCTCATGCAGACGAGCCGCTGTGTAAGTGAGTGTCGGCGGCTTCTTCTTCCCTTTATCACTCACTTTCTTCCCGTTGACTTTACTGAGAGAGAGAGAGAGAGCAAGCATCATTACTCCAGTCTTCAGAGTCACATGACCCTTCAGAAATCACTATAATATGATGATCTGATGCTCGAGAAACATGTATGATTATTATCAGTGTTGGAAACTGTTATTTACACTTATATTTCAGTATTCTTTGATGCTTTTGTAAAATAAAATGCTACAGTAAGAAATTATATGATATTTTTGTGGGGAAGAAATAAGAAAAATCGATACTTTTATGCATCAAGGACGACAGTAAAGACATTAATAATGTTTCAAAAGATTCTATTTTAAATAAATGCTGTTCTATTGAACTTGTGTGTACCTGGCGGTGAGGTTGTGTAGGCAGGTGTGTGTGTGTGTACCTGGCGGTGAGGTTGTGTAGGCAGGTGTGTGTGTGTGTGTGTGTGTGTACCTGGCGGTGAGGTTGTGTAGGCAGGTGTGTGTGTGTGTGTGTGTGTGTACCTGGCGGTGAGGTTGTGTAGGCAGGTGTGTGTGTGTGTGTGTGTGTGTGTGTACCTGGCGGTGAGGTTGTGTAGGCAGGTGTGTGTGTGTGTGTACCTGGCGGTGAGGTTGTGTAGGCAGGTGTGTGTGTGTGTGTGTACCTGGCGGTGAGGTTGTGTAGGCAGGTGAGTGTGTGTGTGTGTGTGTACCTGGCGGTGAGGTTGTGTAGGCAGGTGTGTGTGTGTGTGTGTGTACCTGGCGGTGAGGTTGTGTAGGCAGGTGTGTGTGTGTGTGTGTACCTGGCAGTGAGGTTGTGTAGGCAGGTGTGTGTGTGTGTGTGTACCTGGCAGTGAGGTTGTGTAGGCAGGTGTGTGTGTGTGTGTGTACCTGGCGGTGAGGTTGTGTAGGCAGGTGTGTGTGTGTGTGTGTACCTGGCAGTGAGGTTGTGTAGGCAGGTGTGTGTGTGTGTGTGTACCTGGCGGTGAGGTTGTGTAGGCAGGTGTGTGTGTGTGTGTACCTGGCGGTGAGGTTGTGTAGGCAGGTGTGTGTGTGTGTGTGTACCTGGCGGTGAGGTTGTGTAGGCAGGTGTTGATGTACTGGCTGTAGTAGTCGACCTGCTCCGAGTGGAAGGAGCTCTTGCAGTGAAGACTGTGTAGAGTCTGTCTGAGTTTCACCAGCTCCGCCTGACGCCTCTGACGATACACACGCTGGTGACGGATGTCCTACACACACACACACACACCGTCAGCACCAGAGACTGGAAAAAAAGATGGATGACGCCCCTTCACTCTCTCCCATTGGTGAAAAGTGAAGCCGCCAAAGTCCTAATATGGCGCTGACATCTTAATGAAACTCTTAGAGTAACTCGTTATATCAGTGAGAATTAAACTGTCCCGAAAATCTCCCAAAAGTCTGTGCCTCAGTGACATCACTCAGAGAAGCTGTCAATCACAACGTCACATTCCCGTGTTTATAACATCAAATAATAAGCCCACACTTATTTTAAAATAACAAACACTTAAACTTACATCAGCGTAATAAAAACACCTAAAATGACAGAAAACTTGAATCCCAGCACTTTGTCGGATTCACAAACTCAAGGATTTCGAGGACCCGTGGGAACCCGCGTGGTCAGCACACACACACTCACCTTTGCGATGAGCTGCAGCATGTGTGTGTGTGTGTCGGGGGGGTGCAGGACCCCGATGGCCTCCAGTCTCCGCATGTTCCTCAGGATCTTCCTCTTCTTCTCCTCCAGGGTCAGGCTGCCGTCGGACACCAGCGACTGGTTCCTCTTCATCTTCTCCGGGGTTCTGATGTCTCTCTGAGCGCGCTGGTGCATCATCCAGCCGTGCTGCACCTCCTGCTCACACACACACAGATTTATTTGAGATTTAAGCTCTAAAGCTCAGCCTGCATCCTTCCCTCGAGGGTCAACATGACCCGAAGCCCTAAAATTATACTTTTTTCAATTATTTATTTATTTAAAAAAAAAAAAATTAAATATTTATTTATTTACTGGTACTTTTTAAAAATATTTTTTTTGTAAAAAATTTTAATGCATTTTTTTATTTACTTGTAAATTACTAGATTTGATTAATAAATAAAAGTTAATTTAAGCACATTCCTTACATTCTTTCAACTTAAAAAAAAAAAAAAAAAAACCCTCACAATCTCAACACACCCAGCTCAAAATATCTTCCATTGGCCCTCTTGTGAAATAATATTAATAACTCATGATATTTCATGACTGGAGATGGACATATCGCTCTATATGGAGCAGAGCTGCTGTTCTGCTGGGTCCTAAAGTCAGTTCTCTCAGCATGTAGACATTACAAATCATTCTTTAGTGGAGATTTTGCATTTATAGCATTTTCTATATGGTGTAACTCCAGTTTCAGTCACTGGATCAGTGATGGCTGTGTGTGTGTGTGTGTGTGTGGAGTCATGTCTACCTGATCTCTGGAGGCGGAGACTTGCAGCACCTCACTGAGCGTGTCACCGGGCTGCGTTCGGATCACATCGATGATCAGCTGCTTTGTGCTGAAGAACAACCAGACAGGAAATGACCTCATCATCACCATCATCATCATAATAATCAACACAGATACATCATCCGACAGACTCCGCCCACCTCAGCAGAATCCCGCGCGCGTCAGGCCTGTCATCAGAGCTCGTGAACACGTCGAACTTGCTGGTGAGCGTCAGAGAAACCTCCATCTTGGCCAAAGGCTGCTCCACATTTGGATCCGAGGGGTTGAGCTGCCCCTCGCCTGCGCACGCACGCACACACACACACACACACACACACACACACACACACACACACACACACACACACACACACACACACACACACACACACACACACACACACACAGAGCTGTCTAAATGGGATGTTCCATAGACATAATGGTTTTTATAATGGTACAAACTGTATATTCTGTCCCCTTACATTAACTCTACCCATCACACACACACACTAACCCCTAAACCTAACCATCACACACACACACACACACACACACTAACCCCTAAACCTAACCATCACACACACACACACAGACACACACACACACTAACTCGACCCCATAAACCTATGCATCTGTTTAGGTAGGGCGCTCACTGGAGCTCACACACACACACACACACACACACTCTCAAGGCAGGATCTCAGTGTAAATGATTGTGTTTGACGTACCGATGAGGTCCTGCAGTGACGGCACTGATCCCAGATCCTGCAGAAGCTGCTGAAGAGGGTCTGACGGATCGGGACACAGACAGTCCTGATGCTCCAACAGCAGCTGACACACACACACACACACACGTCAGTAACATTGCATTACCATTTTATGCCCAGGATGAATAACTGCACAGATTTAAACATGGTCATGTGACCACTGTGAAAAACTCTGATTCACAAACAAATGACATTTCATGTTCAATATCGTTAGATGTTTGTGATGTTTGGCACTGACTCGGTGTGTGTTGATGAGTTCGCTGATGGAGATGTAGATCACGGGCCTGTTGAGGATCAGCGTCTCTGAATACTCATCGATATTGAAGCGTTCCTCCGGCTCAGGCACGTCACACACCGTGCGCAGGAACTTCCTGTTACAGGAGAGAGCCGAGAGATGAGATGGGAAGTGTGATGCACTAGTTGAGTGTGTGTGTGTGTGTGTGATGTCCTGGTTGAGAGCGTGCGCTCACCTGAAGCGTGCGTGTGTGTGTGTGATGTACTGGTTGAGCGTGCGCAGGTGTGCCGAGTCCCCGCTGAAGTGCTTGAGCGCTGCGCTGTGCTGAAGGATGCGAGCGATGGAGCCCAGAGTCCGGCGCTGACCCGGCAGAAGAGCAGAACCGGCACCGAACTCCACAACATCAAACCCGTCAGGAGCCACGACAGCAGGGTTCATGTAGCGATAGTAGATGAGGTTACCCACGATCTGATCACACACACACACACACACACACACACAGCAGATGTTCAGACTAGACTATTAGACTAAATAAAGTCAACATCATTACTCTGACAAAGAAACGCCCACTTGTATATATAGTCAAAAATGTATATATATATTTTTTTTACCTTTAAGTATTTTTTTTATAAATATTATTTATATATTTTTTATAAAAAGAAATAAAGACTTTATGTAGAAAATGTTTTTGATAAATTATAAATGTATTGTGTGTGTATATATATATATAAATGTATATATATTTTTACATACATGCATATATACACACAAAACTATATTATTTGTTTTAGTAATTAATATAAAGTTTTTAGAAATACACAAATATATACAATTACACTATATATATATATATATATATATATATATATAAAATAAATTTATATTTTATAAATTTCTTTACTAAAAACTATATATATATATATATATATATATAAACAGACATAATACATATTTTATGATCAAAAACATTTATTTGTTCAAATAAATAAACAAAAATAAATAAATAAAAAATATATATATTATATATCAATATATATTTATGATAATCTGAGGTTTGAGAACTACCTTGTACAGCTCGTCCTCACTGGCCTGAGGAAACTTCTCCTGCAGGGCGTCTCTCAAAACCTTAGCAGTGTAGCGCAATCCGTACCTGGTTAAGACACACAAACACACATTTAAGATATAAAATAACCCCTGAAAACACCAAACTCTATCATCTAATATTCAGCCCCATCAAGAATTCACAGAGCTTTTATGTCATAATTTCCTGCAACTTTAAAAAAAAAAAAAAATTATATTTTGGTAATATGGCAGTGCAAACCCATCAATAATCAGTAAGAAATAATTACTTACAGTAAGAATATAAATTACCTGTAATTTTTTTGTGCATAATTACTGAAATCGATTGTGGTTCATTTCTCTTTACAGGTTCTATTGTATTCTAACAGTCACAAACACTAATTCTAAACATAGGAGGGACTGACTGTGTGTATGCGTGTAGGCATGACACACTTACGGTAGTTTGTGTGTGTTGCTGGTGATGGCGTGTAACACGCGATCTGTGAGGTTCTTCAGGTTCGTGATGGAGATGTTTAACCTCTGCTGGACCTCCGAGTGACTCAAGGCCTCCTCCACGCTCACCTCATACGGTAAACAACTGAAACACACACACGGTAATCTTCATCTCAGAATTCAATTCAATTCAATTCAGCTTTATCTGTATAGCGCATTTCACAATACACATTTAAAAAGCACATTACAGCGTACAGTGATCTGTTATCAGAGGAGACTGTCTAAGTTAAGCGTTTCAGAAATGCAAATCACAGTTAGTGAAAAACATATTAATTTAAACAATGTAATAATTATAAGATCTCCTAAGAACTGAGTATCTCAGGAATGTGTTCTTATAGCATTCTCACGGACAATTCGCAACCTCACCACTAGATGGCGCCAACACTCACACACCACCTTTAAAAACTACTCAAAAATCTCATGTGTAATATTGTTACCATCATTTCTTCTAAGTAAGCAAGCACATAAGATTTTCCTAAAGCATTCTCACGGACCTCTTCTGGCCGGTCTGGCTCTCGTTCTGGTTGACCCAGCTCTTGTAGATCTCCACGGGGTCGGTTCGGATGTTGAGGGCCCGGTCCTGCAGAACTTCTCGGATCGCCGGACCCAAGACGTCCTTCAGCGCGTTCTGGCCGCGAGCGTGACGGTAGAAACTCACCAGCATCTTGATGACGGTGGGGTTCCCAGTGACCACTTCCTGCGGTCGGTCCACCTTCACACTGCACACAGTCCAGCGCTGTCATTCGTGCACCAGTTAACATGTTCGACTGATTCAATAATGACTGATGGAAATAAATCAATTTCGATGCAATCAAATTCACCAAAGGAATGATTAATGGTATGAACATTTGGATTTTTATCTGGCAAGTGCCCCTATTCTGCTGTTTTTAAGGTCGCTAATGTTGTTTTGGAGTCTCCTGAACTAGGTTTACATGCATCCAAGATCAAAAACACTTTAATCGTCAGCTCTTTCCTCTCAGCTTCAGTCTCTCTAAGCTCCGCCTCTCTGAGAGCTGCTCTGCTCTGATTGGTCAAAGCAAGCGCTCATTAGCATATCCGAATCTCAGCTCATTGTCACAGTGTTAAAACAACTGATCTATCCAACACTGAACTCCAGAGACATAAATCGGAAAGACTTTACAATAAGGTTCCACTTATTAAAGTCTAGTTAAATACATTAGTGAACATGCTGTTAATATTTGTTTCTATGCAGATTTACCCCATGACAAAACCACCCAAGTCATTCTAGAATGATTCATTCTTTTTAAATAGAGCTATTCAAGTCGTCTGGTGCAATCGTTTTAATATCGCAATGTCATTTTTTGCCAATATCGTGCAGCCCTGTGTTTTCCATAGTGAGATATCGGCATCGGCAAATATTGGCCATAAGTGCAATATTAATATCGGTTATTGGTATCGGCCACAATTTTCGCATCGGTGCATCACTAAGGAAACTTTAACTCATGAGCAGAGTGTGTGTGTGTGTGTACCTGATCTCGTGGCGTAGCGCAGCAGTGAAGAGCTGCAGCAGAAGGAAAGCCTCCCTGCAGTCGGAGCCGTAGTTGAAGAGAGTGAAGATCACCGTCTCCATGAAGCTGGTGCTTTTATTCTGAGGCATCAGGAAGATCAGCTGAGCCAGATACAGCGGCTGGGTCTACACACACACACACACACACACACGTCAAAACACAAACACAGAGAGAGAAAAAGAGAGAGAGAGAGTGTGAGTGTCTGTCTGTCAGTGTGTGTCAGTAAGTGAGCATGTGAGAGCATAGTGTATGAGTGAGTGAGTGAGTGAGTGTGTGTGTCAGTGAGTGAGTTGTGTGTAGCCCCCTTTCCACCAAAGCATTTTGAGAGCCGGTGCCTGCGCGCGAACCAGTTCTTTGTGTTTCGACAGCCAAAGAACCGGTTCTCGGCCGGGAAAACTGGTTCTAAAGCGGCACCAACTCTTTGCTGGACTAGAACCGTTCTTTTACCACGTCATGCTTATGTCGGGGACTGGGGTGGGTTTAGATGTGTCCTAAACATCTTTTCTGACCATAATAAAGGATCGCAAAGCCAAGAGAAACATTTGCAGAAACACGAGGGAGTCCGCCTCTGTAATTGTCATGCTTGAAGTTAACGCAAGCGTTTCTATTTTTGTAATTTTTTTATTGAAGACATTATAAGCAAAGAAGAAAAATCACAATATAGAACAAATGAATGGAAAGAAAAAAAGACACAAGACAGGGTTACATAACTTATCAGAAAAAATTACATATCAAACGAAAATATTAAAAGACTTACATATTTCAATTGTTTTTAAAGCTTTCTTGGTACACGAGTTAGAGATAATCTGAAAGTAAAGTTGTATTTGCACGCGTTTCTAGCTAAGACGTATGGCGACGTACACAGTGACGTAACGACGTCGTTCCCTGGGCGCTCTAGTCAGTGGAAAAACAAACAGGTTCTGAAGAAGTTCGCAATTGGAAACCAACTCCAAACGAACTTTGAACCAGCACCATTTCCGAACCAGTTCTTTTTTAGGTGGAAAACAGGTGTGTGTGTGTGTGTACCTGAAGCAAGTAGAACAGGTGCTGATAGGCCTCAAGTCGGTCTCTCTTCTCTTTACTGAGGGCTTTCAGGCCCTTGTGTTTGTCCAGAGCCATCATGTCACTCAACTGCTCCTTATTCTTCTTAGTGAGCTTCTTACAGTGAGACACCACCTCCTACAGACAGACAGACAGACAGACAGACAATCAGAGAGAGAGAGAGAGATGAACAGAGCCACTGTGTCTCCGCTGGTTGTCTGACCTGCAGCGTGACCCGGTTCCGGACCAGCAGGCCGATCTTCAGGTCCATGAGGTCCAGGTCGTGCTCCAGCTGCCTGTTGGCCCGGATGGAGCGCACCACCTCCTCCCTGAGCCTCAGCAGCTCCGCCTCCTGACGGATGTCAGCGTCTCCACACTCCAGCAGGTGCGCAAACTTACACACCACCGACAGCGGCGGCGCGCTCGAGTGAACTGGACATCACACACACACACACACACACGGGTCACAACACATAACAGGCACAAACAGGGTTTAAATTAACTTTTTTTTAGTTTTCTATTCAGAACTTCTACTAGCCAAAAAGAAAGAAAAAAAATGTAACCAGATTAACTATATTTATATATATATAATTTATTTATATATATATACATATACAGCCATTCCTTCTCATCACCAAACGTGTGTTTTAGGAGTACAGATCAATGTAGGACAAACAAAGGTTTTAAAATAAAGTCTTCTCTGCAAACCAAATGCTTTTAATCTCCGCTTTCGCTTCAGTGCAGATGAGCCAGCGCTGTTCTGTGTGGCGTAGTGACGAGTGTGTTCAGGTTAGCAGATATGAGCAGATTCTGTGTTTAATATATCATGATGACTCGCAAGTATTTGCACAGGTTTGTCTTACTCGAACTTCTCCAGCAAAGTGAGTAAACACGATAAGTAACACACCAACTTAGCTCGTGATTTGACAGCGTTATTCGCCACTGCTGATTCATACCCGCGTTTGGCGGATGCTAGTTTCAGACCGTGCTCACAAACGTTTGAAGCGTATGATCAAATACTGTGATCGTCAGCGACTGACCCAGTAAGCGATACTCCTCGCGGGCTCTGCTGGCTCTGAAGAACGCCTGGATCCGGATTATAGCTCCAACCTGACACATAAATAAACACACAGATGAACACACACACACACACACACACAGATCATGATGCTGGACACAGGCGTAACCCTCACATGTCTCCTGAAGTAAGCGAGCCGGGCGAGATAGTTCCTGCGGGCGAGCCACATCTTCACTGTGGCCTGGATCTGAGAGCACAGAGAGTCACACGTGAGACACACACACACACACACACACACACACACTAGGGGTGTCACTTTTGTGGAAAAAATCCTGTTTGATTTGAGACGTGTTCATTGAATCGATTTTCCATGTCTAAAAACGTTTCCATTTTCAACACCAAACACAGGCGAATCCACGGACACCTGACAGGCGTTAGGACAAACGTAAAGAGGCGCTTGAGACGCGATATTCCTGATGATTTATTGCCGTGAAGTTTCAGCACAATGACAAACATTCTCAATAAACAATAATCAGAGTGGACTGCCATAACATCAGAGACTGCAGGTCAGAGAGAAGGCCATTAAAATCGATTCCCTATTTTCGTTTTCGATACTTGTGTTGGTTGGTCTGATTTTTGAACGTAAAATGACAGACACACACACACACACACGCGCTTTACCTTGAGGACGGCTCTCCAGTTGTGGTACAGATACTGCAGTCTGCGCCGGTACTCCCTCTGCTGTCTGTATCTCCTCCAGTGAGACTGATGACACACATTCAGCACGGGATCATTAGCGGCGCAACCATGGATCAGACATGAGGCGCCATGTATCGTGCAATGTTCACCCAAAAATGAAAGATTAGGTTGGCATCAAATATGGTGAACCAGGAGAGTACAAGCTAAAGTTTTACACATTTGAGCAAACTAATTATTAATCAATTAAAAATAACGTCCATTACTTAAAACTTATTTTTAATGCATGCAAAAAGTCAATAAAGACAAATTTAAAGTTCTCACAATTTCGTGATTTTTTCGAAGTTTTTTTAATCTCACAATAATTCATAGTATGATTGTAGAAATTAAAAAATAAATGGTTTATATGAATTCAATTAATTATGCCTTTTAATTATGAAAATATTATTAAACCATAAAACGGAATCCAGAAAACCTGAAATAAAGAGATTTAGTCGTATGTCATTGATCTGTAAACATGTCATTTTTGTTAAACTTTTAATAAATTGTTGTCAAATTGTTCAAATTTAATAATGTCAATTAACTATGCTTTATGATTAATAATATAAAATAAAATATACAACCACATATTTTGTGGTTTAAATGAAAAATAAGAAAAAAAGAAAAAGTGTGTATTCGTGGTTCAAGCTCCCTCAATTGTTTCAATTTGAAAAATAGAATAAAATAAATACCGGGCCGAAATGACCCGAGGGACGGATGAGGGTTACGTCAGTCTAGTCTAATCATCCAGTGTGAAGGTCCCATGAGCAGTGTGTTGAGGTGAGTCTCACCTGTATGGTGATGACGGCAGGAACGTGTGTGTTGAGGAAGTGGCGGCGCTCGGCTAGCTTCTGTCGCAGCAGAAACCCTCGCATGCGCGCCTGCATCCGCTGCACCAGCGCCTCACTGGCCTTCCACTGCACATCTCTGCTGTGGGCCGAGGTCACACGACTGCACACCGCCTGCACACACACACATCTCACTGATTTACGGCACCACTCGTTTACGGCACACTCTGGCAAATTCAGCATGTTTTACAGGTGTTTAGTGCGCGTCTCACCTGGATGTCCTCGTGCGTCAGGAAGATGCTGTTCTGGACGAAGCCCTGAGGTCTTTCCCAGCTGCCCTCCAGTTTCTGCAGGTGGAAGTAGTAAGAGCTGCGGTCCGGCAGTTTAGTCCTCATCCACGTGCTTCTGTTATCACCTGCACAACACACAAACTCACACTCAACAAGTGCAGTGTGTGATATAGCAGCATCTAGTGGTGAGGTTGTGAATTGTACCCAACAGTGGCCGACAGGAAGTGATGTCATCTGAGACAGCAGAGAGTAGGCAAAGCAACGAGGTTTCTTTACAAACGACATGTTATTGCGAATATTATAGTTACTTGTTCTTGTATAACGTTTTGGATGACTAACGACGGAGAAGAATTTGAGCGTTGTGCGTTCAGGCGCTGCCCGTCAAAATAAAAGTCTCGCTTCGAGCACATCGGCCAAACAGAATCAAGGTCAAATTAGAACAAACAAACACTTCAGAACTCCCATTGGTCCATGGGGATGATGTAATAGGTGGGTGTGGCTCTGAAATCTTCTCCGCTTTAAAAATAAAGAGTTAAAAAACGAACACAGACTTTATAGTAGAAACTGAGGCTGTGATTGAAAGTGACACTGACTCTTATTCATGTTTAATATTGTAAAGCTGCTGATCTATTGTTTAACGTGTCTGAATAGCAGAGCTGACGCAAACATCCACATCACTATAATCAGACGCTTTCTCAGGTTTGTTGTTTTTTTTTGTTATTGAGAGGAAATATTTACAATGTTCATTTAAATTTTTATATTTAAAATTGTAATATTTATTCCACTTTGCTAGGTATATATTTATTTATTATAATCTGTTTTTTTTTTTACCAAATTTTTTGGGGATGAACATTTACTTATACTGCATTGAAACTGCAAAAAACTGTGGCCTATGCAAACGAAATTTCGTTCTGTATACACTTGTTGTATTATGAATGACAATAAAGTCTGTCAAGTCAAGTCAAGTCTAAATGTGGCCGGCGTCGAGATGTTCGTTAACAGTATTTTACAGCAAAAGCATTTCAAACTTCTTTTACTTCAAAGAGAAGAATAAAACAAGTTTGCCGTGAGGATAGAGGCCTTGGATGCTCGTGTGTGTGTGTGTGACTGACCCTCCTGTGTTTTGGCCCTCAGCAGGGCGCTCAGCTCCGTCTGGTACCCGTCAGCACATTCGGACACGACGCTCCTCAGCGCCACCTCTGGCAGACGCAGCACTCGCACCGTCTGAGACGCTCGGCCCTCTTTAACAGCCTGATTCACTGCGGCCAGACCCAGACACACTACACACACAGGGGTAAAATGTTGTATTAATCATGCAAAGTATAATAAGACCAAACCTATAGACATGCATATAGACATGAATAAAACTGTAAAGTCTGGTGTGTATAAAAGCTGTGGAGATTTAAAACTCAAACTCACCGCCTTTAAAGATCTACAGACGCAAATATATCAGGTGCAATAAAATAAACTTAAATAGTCTGAATGAAGACAGGTTATGGAAGCAAAATGGGCCCAAAAAATGTTTTTGCCTGCAGTGTCTTGCCTTAAATCTACCTGAGGCTGAAACCCTTGCAGTTACATGTGCATCAAGCGTATCGTGTGGTTGTGTGTGTCCACTCACTCTTCAGTGCTTTCTGAGTGTCCTGATTGGCCAGTCTCACACCTTCCTGAATGTCAGCCAACCAGAGCTCAGCTCCAGGGTCACGGCTCACCTGGAAACACAGGACATGAGCGTTTCATCAACCTTTTTTGGTTTTCTCACTTATCTAACAATATCTATCCTTCAAATTCTAAAAACGGTAAAAAGATAAATAAACTTATAAAATAATGGTAATTATAAAGTGCAGCATATGCAATGACTGGTTGTTTTAAGCATTGAAATGATACTATAGCAAAGATATCACTCCCCTTATTTAAACAAAAAAAATTTCTTATGAATATGATCATTTTTCTCCTGTATACATCATATACTTGGATATTTATATGAGCAATATTACACTCATAGCCATGTGAAATACCTCTTTATCTATCTCAGACAGGCTGCAGCGTTGCTTTTGCATGAAAATATGGTTTTATCTATAAAATTAAACTCTAATTCCACGTATTGTCTTTTCATTTCATATATGTGGCTGTTTTTATGGGTTTTCAAAGACTTAAATTTAAAAAACTCAAAGTACTTCAAACCCCCTGTATGAACCCAGTTAGAATCAGGTCTACACTAATTGAATGCATTTAAAGGTGAACTACAGGGGAATTGTGCAGCGAGACCCAGTGACCGATGGACGCATCACCACACCTCTGCCTTGTGTCGTTTGGCTCGGGTCAGCAGGTCATGGTAGCGTGTGGCGTTGAGCGGAAACACGTCCTCCAGGCCAGCGGAGGGCAGCATCAGCGCCGAGAGCGTCTTCTGAGGATCACTGCGACTCAGGGTTTGGTTGATCAGACCGATGGTGAGAATCTCTGTGGAGATCAACAACCACACCATCAACTACTAACGCTGAAAACTAATTATTATAACCAGAGAAGACACTTGCAGTCGACTGACGTTCATGTTCCTCGTGAGCGGCAGTATTGACGGTGTTCAGCCCCGTCTGCAGGTCGTTCCAGGTGAGAAGAGCTTTACCTGCCCTCCTCTTCTGCTCACACAGCTCCTCAAAATACCTGAACACAGTTATTACGCCAGATATTAACCCTGGAAAGCCTGACATGAAAACATATCTTATGCAGATTCTGAAATTTATATAAAAGGCTGATGCTTTTAATGTAAACCAATGAGATCTTTAATAGTACAGCAGATACAGGCATATCAATATCTGCCAATAATATGTCTTAGTAAGATGATATTTAAAAGCTTAGTTTTATGATCTGTAGTTATAAAACACATAATGCAATGATGATTGAGGGAAGAACAGATAAACCTTCCTCAAAAGCCTGATGATCATATTTAATACTCATGATTTTATAATAAATGATGATGATGATAATTAAGTAAAGCTGAAATATTACTAACAATATCAAAGTTATTCCTTGATAAAATCAGAGCAGATTTGACACAAAGACTTGTGAAGCTCGAGCTGAAAGAGGACACTTGAACAATTAAACTAAAAGACTTTCACTGGAAGCACTGCAGGAGATCGGCAGCTTTATCAGATCATGTTCATCATTAAGAGTCTAAGAAATTCACGTATCAAACATGTTAGCGATTAAACCACACAAAACACAGTTTTACTCTCTTAACTGTCGGCCTTTTGATTTAATGATTGTTTAAATGAATGCAGACAAAAATCTAGATCCAATTAGAGTTCGAAATAAGTAACATGTCCACATACAGTATATATATTTATACATTCATACAGTGCGTGTGATGAGTGAACGGTCAGACCTCTGAATCAGGCCGTCATCGATGTCAGCGAGTCCAGCGGCAGGACTGACTAGCGTAGCGCTGAACGCACCGAAGTCTTTCACCTCCACAGCCTGATTGACCAGAGCAACCGCTGACAGCATCTCCACCGCGACAAACAACTCCTCCTGCTGCAGCGAACCCTGGAAACAACATCACAGCTGCACCTTAGCATCCTTAGCACCTTATCATCATTTCACTGTTACATTTTAACATCTCATCGTCAGACCGAGGTAAAAGGCTGCACAAACCCAGATTCTATAAAAAATTCAAAAAAAGATTCTCATTTTTAGCAAATCCCAAGAATCAATCTTTTAGCCTGTGCTGGTTTTGCTTGAATAATCAAAACATCACTAAAAATTATTTGTAATAATAATCTTAGTCTTGTAACAATTAATCCAGTCAAAATGATCTTTGAACTTGATTCTTTTTAAATGAAACAGTCTCAGCTTTGAAATTCTGTCAGATTCATCACAAATTCAGTCAGTAAATGTGTGTGTGACAGATGAACCGATCATCTCTTCCTCTTTACTACTAGTTACAGTAGCAAATAAACATCAATGAACATCAGAAAGAATGTTGAAAGATACAGAACAACTTCCTGAAATAAATCATGTCTCATATAATCCATCAATCAGTGTTTCAACTGTCAAGAGATGTTAATAAAACCGCTACAAAGCTCAGCCAATGTGAAACTTTCCCTTCCCCGGTGATAAAATAAGGTTTAGGAGGAGGTTAACCCAGAGTTTAGGAGGAGGTTAACCAAGGGTTAGGAGGTGTGTGTTACCTGTGGACACTGGTGCTGCAGGGATGCCAGCTCTCTCTGGTAAAGCTCCGCAGCGAACGGATAGACGTCTGGCAGATGAGCATCTGGGTTCATCAGTGCCCGAACCGTCTGACGAGCTTCCCCACGCTGCACGGCCTCGTTTATTTTACTCACCGCCTGTTGAACTGCACACACAACTTATTGTACATGAAACAGCATTTATTTACTGTCACAAACTAATGAGTCCTTGCTGAATAAAAGTATTAGTTTCTTACTAATACTTAATAATCGTCTATTTACTAATTACTAATAAACGGCTCTGGGCATGTTCTTCTAATTAGAATAATTACATGCATTATTGTTTACAAAAAGGCTGCTCTTATAAGGTATGATCGGATTTCATTAAAACTATCTTTAATTGTGTTCAAAAGATGAAGGAATGTGTTATGGGTTTGGAACGACATGAGCAATTGATGACAGAATTATTACTAATTATTAATTGAAACACTCATATTACTCAAAAAACTCTACTAAAGCACACTCAGAGTAGTTAAGAGCGTTTCACTGACTGGTTCGATCTCTCTGCGCGTCCTCATTGGCCATGTTGACGGCCCCCTGTAGTTCATCTCTCTCCAGAGGATCCACACATCCCAGATCCTGACAAACACACACTTCAGTCACCGGTGAACAGTTTACGAGTGAGCGGTGAGAGAGACGATGTCTCACCAGGGCTTTCTGCTCTCGATCAGCGCTCATCTGCTCCAGGTACCAGCCGGCGTGATCTCGGACCAGTCCTCTGAGCGCCAGACTGGGGTTCTGCAGGGCACACATCAGCGCCAGCGCGTCAGCACAGTCCAACGCCTCGTCCACACACTCCACCGCCGCACGCACTGCAACACACACACAGAGACAGAAGGAGAGATCATTCCTGATTTTCCTTTTATGCAAATGTCCTAATTATTGAAATTCCAATTAGATTTAGTGGTGAAATATGAGTGACCCGGATATGATTTAATGACTCACTGTTGACTCTGTTAATGGAGTCTTGGATTTCTCTCTGCGTCAGATATTCCTCATAAATGTCGTTCTCTGCTGATCCGTTTCCCTGTAAAACACAGAACCGTTAGAAAGGCCAACTATAACTCGATGGGTAAAGCTGCCCTTCCACTGCACATGACAAACCACCGTTGGACAGGAAGTCATTCATTTCCAATAGAGTCGTACTGGAGCTGCGGGGAGTTCGATCATATACACATGCCGAAAATTTGGATCCGATTTGATCTTTGGATCTGCTGAACTCCTGCGGCTGGACCGCATGCGCCGGCCGACCGGATGTGATGTATTCTAATCAACACTATGAGTGTGAGGCTAAAATTACCAATATTTTCACTCTTTAATGTTATTCGGTAAACGCTGTTTCTGTAAAATGTCGGTTATTAATAATTATGGCAGAAAAAAAACATTTTATAATTATTAAATCAATATTTGTATTGATTAGCTCTGTTAAATCAGCTACTGATTTAAAAAGCTACTGTTTTTTATTGTGTGGATATATTCATGCATGCATTACGTTCATTAAAATCACTAATTTCACCATTGTGAACAGCCGAGGGTAACGGTTGCTTCACAACCAAATTTCAAAGCTCCATGTGACTGACGCGGGGGCGAAATACACTATGTCAACCCTATTTTACTGCTTTTATCTGTGACTATTGTTGATTGCAATGCATTAACTCTGGTGTCCAAAATACATATTGTATTATCCAGTGTTGGTTTTTGCAATTGCACTTTTCATGTAATATGTGTTTGTTTGTTTTGTTTTTGTACATTATGTGTTACAGATATAGTGTGCATTGTTGTAACTGGGTTCCCACAAGGACTTTCCAGGTCCAATAATGTCAAATTCATGGACTTAACGTGGGGACACATTTAAAACGAGAGCAAGGTTACATCGTGTTACCTTGTAAGATACATTGTTACAGTTTTGCACGCGTGAACGTCATGGCAACGTACAACACACAGTACCTCACACGGGAAACACTTAACGCAGTGTAAATGCACGCAACTAACTATAATCAAGCAAGCTAGCGCGCGTAGGCCATGCAGTGTTGGAGGAATAACACATTAGCGGAGCGAAAAATACAGATTTTTTTCTTTCAGAAAATAAATCCAAGCACTTTCATGGACCTCTGTGTTTATTTACAAAAACTTTCCAGAGCCTTGAAAACTTTCAAGGACCCGTGGGGAACAAAATGCAAAAAAAAAAAAAAAAGTATTACACAAAAACACAGAATCGTTCACATCAGCTGGTCTCTTGTCAGTTTGTGGTGATGAGACGCTCTTACATGTGTCCGCGCCCGAGACGCCTTCTGAACGCGTGCCTGTCGCAGCATCTCCTGGTAGACGGGCACCAGCCGGTCCTGAAGGGCGCTCAGCATGGCGTTGGGGTTCTGCAGGGCTCGACCCGTGACCTCCACACAACCCCGATCCACCGCTTCGTTGATGGCGATCACAGCCGCGTGCACTAAAGACAGGAGAGTGATTACAGCCAATAGCAAAACACAACAATCCAATCAATTCCTCAGACACAATGAAGCCCCGCCCACATGTGTTCTTGTTCCTGAAGCGTTTCACTCGTTATACGACACAATAGAGGAGAAAAGACTAGCTTAACTTCCCTTTCATGCTGACTTACTTTAAAGATGAAGTTTGTTTTTCTGTGTCACTCAAAGGAATAGTACAGATAACTGGATTTTTATACGGTAATACTTTAAATGAAAAGGACATTTAAAAATGACAGACATTACGTCTGATAACAAGTTTCTCAATATTTTTGTCTTTTTTTCCAGCACAAATATCTAAACATCCCTGAATCAAGATACAGTTACTGGAGATGCAGAATCACTTAAGAATCACTTATATTTATAAATGTATCAAAAATAAAAAGACAATGAGGTCAAAATTTCTTTTGGTTACACTTTCTTTTGATAGTCAGTCTACTAGACAGTCTCTTTAGACAGTCTACTAACTATAAGTAGCTTTTCAACTACATGTCAACTAACTATCATTAGAGTATTAGTAGACTGTAGTAGACTGTCAGTAGACTGTTAGGTTAGGGTTAGGGTTCAGGTTAGGAGAACAAGTTGACTTGTAGTTGCTAAGTTACTTACAGTCAGTTGAATGTCTGTTGGGGGACCAACAAAATAATGTGTTAGCAGATATTAAGCTGACAGTCTACTAATACTCTAATGATAGTTAGTTGACATGTAGTGGCAAAGTTACTTATAGTTAGTTGAATGTCTAAAGTGGACTATCAAAATAAAGTGTTACCTTTCTTTTTTTTCTCTTTGAATTAAGCATGTTTAGATACTTCTTTTATCTCCTTTTCTGGTACAAATAAGAAGAAAAAAAAGAATAATGTATTGATCTGGCTATATTTTGCTTTTAATTATTATTTGATGCACTAGATTTACATATTTATCTTGATCATATTGTAGCACTGAGTATTAAAAAAAGGGCTTTTTTTATATAATGTATTATTATTATTTTTGGCAACATTTTATAATAAGGCCTTGTTTGTTAACATTAGTCATTAACATTTAAATGCAAACTCACAGCATTGTCTAATGCATACAATTTTTTATTTTAATAATGCATTAGTAAAAGTTGAAAATATGACCATTAAGATTTATAAATGCAGAAATCATGTCATCAAACGAGACCTGATTGCAATGCATTATTATAAGCATGCTGAGGAAGGCACGCACCTGCCGCCTCGTCCACGGAGAGCTCATTGGCCAGAATTCCTCCGATCTTACTGAAGGCTGGCATCTGAATCCCGTATTTATCCAGCTCCAGTTTCATGTTATTGATCTCCTCCTCTGCAGAACACACACACAGTTAATAAAACAGACAGCTGTGCTTCCAGACGCTGAAACACACTATAGAAACGGCTCTGAAGTGGAAGTACATTTAGTAGTGCAGGGCAATGATTAATCGCATCCAAAATAATACACACGTGTGAATGTAAATATTTGAGAAATATTTGCATGCTTGCATATACTGTATGTATATATATATGAAGAGTTCAGATGCAAAAGCCTCTAAGTGCCATTTGAAATTTTCTTCTAGAATGATAATTATTATGAAGCTTGTATATTTAAGTTCAGTGATTTCACTTGAATGGCAATGATAATTACCTATTAATTGTTATTTAAGTGAAATTACTGAACTTAAATATACAAGTTTGATAAAAATCATCATTAAAGAAGAAAATTTTAAATGGCATTTAGAGGCTTTTGCATCTGAACTCTTCATATATACAGTATATATAACCCTATTTATAACACACTTTTAATAAATATATACATGCATATGTCTGTGTTTATTAATACAAAATAATTATAGAGAATACATGTAAACAGACTTTTATTTTGGATGCGATTAATCATTGCCCTGCACTAATGAGCGATGATGTTGTCACTGTAGAATTATTCATAAAATAACTTTTACCGGTAAACTTGACCTTCCCACACAGGTCATGGATCTGAGGGGCGAGTCCCAAACGAAACAGGTACAAACTAACACAAGAGATGCAAAACGGTGAAATATAACTGTAATAAATCACTCAGAGGTCATTATTCTGGACGATGTGGAGCCAGCAGTTCTGACCTCAGAGCATGAATGCAGTAAACGGCTCTGGGCATGTTCTTCTTATCGTACACATCCGTCGTCTCTGGATGAAACATCTGCAGGATATACAACATCATCTTCAGTATTATTACAGATTCACAACAGTTTCTGTTTGAGTTCCTGTCGAATTATGGGCTGAAACAGGAGATTTACCGTTGGCAACCCGACCTCCATCATGGCGTTCCTCCAATGGTTGATGTTGTCTGTGTGACGGAACTGAAGCCCGCTGGCCTGAGCAGAAAACATCAGAGATTCACCCTATTCTGCTGTTTTTAAGGTCGCTAATGTTGTTTTGGAGTCTCCTGAATTAGGTTTACATGCACCCAAGATCAAAAACACTTTAATGTCCCCATAATCTCCATTGCAGCGTCAGCTCTTTCCTCTCAGCGTCTGAAACGCTTTAGTCTCTCTAAGCTCCGCCTCTCTGAGAGCTGCTCTGATTGGTCAGACATCAAACGCTCATCATCATATCTGATCTGAATCGTGGGTTTCACCGTATCAGTAAGGGGTGAACGAAATCCGGACGCTGATGTACTGTGTGTCGGAGAGCTGGAGTGGACCTTATTAATATAATTTCATTTCATTTTAAAATGAATCTATACAACATTGTCTCTATATTTTATTAAAGTAATAATTAATAATAATAATAAAAAAAAAAAAAACGTAAAAAATGGCAGTGATTTCTGGCACTAGTACATATTCCTGTGAAATCCTTCGACGGCGATGGCGCACGTGCGGTCGTGGATCGCTCACCTTATATCGCTCCTGGTCCAGGTCGTAGATCTTCTTCAGTGGAACCACACTGGGAGCAAAACAGTGTCCCAGTTTAGCCAGATAAACCCCGTTCCTCAGCGCCTCCTCCAGCTCAGTGGGAGACGGCAGCACCTCCGCCAGACACGCCTCCATCCACCTGACACACACACACACAGCTGTCCACATCTGCAGTCTAAAGGGATAGTTCACCCGAAGATGAACATCATCAGCCCATGATTCACTCATGCTAGTGTGCGTGACACTCTCCCGTCAGACGAACACAATCAGAGTTATATTAAACATGTCCCGACTCTTCCAAGCTTATAATGGCAGTGTAAGAAATGTCTTTGGAAATATCAAGATCAAGAAAGATCTTTAAAAATGTTGAAAGTAGGTGTGTGTGTCACCCTGCGTCTCAATGTTCACACTATCTGTAGTAACAATGTGGACTTTTATAAAGATCTGTTTGGCCATTAACTTCTAAATGCATCATTCTGCATTAATTTGAGGAGAGTCTCCGCGACTGCAGATCATCGAGCTTCTGCATTTCTGTCCCAATGTGGATGTGTGTGACAGAGTGCAAACATTAAAGACGCAATTGAATGACGTGATAGTGTGTTTCAAAGCTCGTCTACTCTTTAGCTACACACTCAAAACTATCTACTTTTTAGTACAAATAGGCGAATTGAGACAGCATCAGAGTGTGTGTGTGTGTGTGTGTGGCAGCTGTCATATCTGGCAGAGACAGTGTTACTTGTATCCATAACAACTGAGTGACGCTTAACATTGTAAAGATCTGCAGTATGCCACTGGTCCATGATTATGTGCATGTATTTGACTGCATCTATGGTATTATGTCCCTGTAAATCATTTTTAGTGCACTTAACTAAATATTAAAAAGGTACCTCTTGGCCTCCTCCAGGCGGCACAGGTATTGATACGCCACATTCTGAATCCTCTGCTCATCCATCTCTTCTGCGGTCAGACGCTCATCTGAAATCAACATAGATCACTTTAAACACACAATCTCAATCACATTCAACAGCAACATTAATGTCACTCACTCACATTAAACATAAATCCTCAATCACATTTTAAATCATATTTAACATAAACCACAGTCATATCTTATATTAAACGTCAATCATAATTCACATAAATATAAACTTATAGATCATTTTAAAACACAAAACCTCAATTACATTTAACTTCACTCACATTTAACATAAATTCTCACTCAATCAAAATAAATCTCAATCATTTTCAATATAAACCTCTATAACGTTCAACATTAACCTCAATATCGTTCAACATAAACCTCAGTAACACTCAGCATAAAGTCACATATAAACACAATCACTCTTCCGTGATTCCGGCTTGTTAGACTGACGTGAACCTCTAGTTTGACGGTTTTATCGCCATGAATGTGTTTTATTTCAGTACTTACAGCCGGACCGGGCCTGAACACTCTCCCCCATCTCTGTTTTTCTGCCGATATCGATTACCTGGATCTGATCGATCGCGTTCTGATAAACCGACACAAACGCACGCGCTGATCTCTGACAAGCGACGCGATTCTCTTCTTATCAAACTCCTTCAGTCTGAAGCCGCAAATTAGTGACGCTTTCTGTCAGGTGCGTTCAAAAGATGTTTAATACATCTATATCGATAACTGGGATTAAACTTTCATTAGGCTCTGATTAATAACTCAGATAAATGTCGACTGAGGAAAAACCGTGAAAGCTCCCGTCTCCGTCTGTCAGTTGTTTACGGTTTGAATATCCCGCCCGCTTCTCATTGGCTCCCACACAGCAGCTCCGCCCACTTGATGACAATAGGGGGATTCGCGGTGTGTCATGGGTATTGTAGTGTATACGAGTTTTTAACAGCACAGCAAACCGCTGGTGTCTATGATCTATGATATCTATGAGCGAGTCTGTGTTTATGTGTATAAATCACATGAGGTTTGAACAGAATTGCTATTTTTTCTTAGATTCCATTTATTTATTTATTTGTTTTTTGGTGTGACAGAGATTTTCTTTTCTGGAGATTATTTGAAGGTAAAACATAGGCTATATTTTATTTTTTTTTAATAACAAAAAACAAAAAAGCTTTATTTTCAACAAAAAGCATGTACGTGGGTTATATTACATCAGAAAACACAACACAACAATACAATAGAAATTACAAAAGAAAAAGAAAAAAGTGGACCAAAAAAGAATAGAAAAGAACAGAGAGGGTGCACATATTATGATATAGCCTAGACATGATTAGATTTTGACATCAATGCACATTTTAATCTCTTTCTTAAGCAATGTGCAAATTTACATTGAAATAAAAAATAAAATAAAAATACATATACATAAAAACTAAAATAAAATGTATACCAGCATCCTTTGAGCAATGGTTCTTGATAACCTTATATCAAGTATATAAGAGAAAAGTAGCCTATTTCAAATATTAGGCTATTTTAGGTGAATGTTGATGGTCAGGTGAAACCACATCACTGCCGTTTCCATAGACACGGGTGTAAACATGTGGTCAGGTGTGCACACACGGAGAGAGACACCTGTCTGTCTCCTCACCTGTTTATACATCATCAGCTCCAATATTACGACATGATTAAGATATCGGACCATCAAACATGGCGCGTATCCCCGAGGACGGTCTGATGGGAGTATCCGTGTAAGTTCGTTTCTTAACTCGGGAAATGAGTGTGGAGAACCTCTGTTCTAGTCTTATTCACTATATTATATTGTTTACTCGAGTTTTGTGGAGCTTATTCTTTATATTCGGTGTAACTGTGTGTGTAATGAGGGTTTAGTTTGCTGTGGTAACTGTGTGTTCATAGTGACACTCTAGAAGACTGATGAATGATTCATTAGTGAAGTGTCATTAACACACACTTTAAAACTGTTCAAGAAGAACAACATTTGTTCCAAGAAGGTTTCGTTAATATGTAAGTTATGTAAATGTTACTTCTGAAAGTTCGTTGATCATATTTTTTCTTGGTTATACAAAAATTATATTTCATAATTTTGCAAACATACCAAGGGAACGTTACTTTTGAATGTTCTGAAACAATTAGAAAACACGTGAATCTAAAACGTTCTGATGCTAACGATTTTTCATTCCAAAAACGTAATTTTTGTAAGGTTAAGTTAGTTTTTGGTTAGCCAGGAAAGTTTTCTTCACATAAATAACAACATGTAGCCTATACGTAAATATTTAAATTAGCCTACTCGAGTTCGCGGCTTTCTGTAAGCGCGATATAAACAAACCCACGCATTTATGCTTAACCCTGGCTTAATATTTTTTTAATCTACAATGTGGCATATCTGATCATTATAATGCATTTTGATTGATATAATTTCTACAGTGTATTAAACAGACTAATTTATGAGCTCTGTATCATTACACAACATTTTTTGCAAAGTTTGGAAAGGTAAAATACAGCATAACCTAATAATTAAAGTTCCTAGAATTATAAAAACTAACGGGAACCAAATACTAATGTTTGAACGTTCTGTGTTTGCTGGGTAAATAATGTTTTGTGTAATGTTTTGAGAACCAGATAACTTGAAGGAATGTTCTATTAATGTTACTGGAAGAACGTTTGTTCATAACTTTGGGAGAACCTTGACAAAACGTTCTGATACGTTCCCTGTTATGGCTGGGATATCTGATGATTTATTTTCCCCAGACAGCAACATTGCCCGGATCCGGCCCACGTCTGGTACATGTGGACTCAAGGCGTACGTGGGCCGGATCCGGGCCGACACTGGGTTGCCGTCTGGGTTCTTAACTTGTAGTCAGTCCTCCTGGGTACAATTTACTTTACTTTAAAAAGTTTCAATTTCATGTCAAATATATTTCATTATAAAAGTAGCATGTAAAAATAATTTCTATTAACTCATTCGTGCATTCAGCCAATGCTTTTACACAAAGCGACTTTGGTTTTATCAGATCATGCATCCCTTGGGAATCGAACCCATGACAGTGTCGATGCTTCAGAAACCCATTAATAGATGTGATATTTTCCCAGATATGTCATACATCTAATTATTTCTGCAATTGTTTATAGTTTACACAAGTGAGTTTAACACAGTAACTTTAGTAACGGGCATTTAACTCTCTTTTTTCTTTCATACACCTCGAATTGACTGAAATTATAATGGTTTTCATGTGGTGGCTTTGGCTATGGCTTGCATTTAATTTAATATCCAGCAATATTATTGATATCCTGAACTGAGCTGGAGGATGACATATCCAGAGCAGCTATATATATATATATATATATATATATATATATATATAAATGAACTAAATTAATAACTTTTTGATAACAAAATGAAGCATCACTGAACTGACTTAAGCTGGACTGTGATGCTATTCTCTTCTAGACACAAACTCTGTCAAATTTCCTGTTACCTCTGTAAAGCTGCTCTGTGTCATCTAAAGCTGTCTCAGGCTGAGCCTCGTGTGTTCCCGCACCTGTGATCTCCGCTGAGTTCATGGCCTCGGACGAGTCTCCGCTCAGAGACGCGGGTGAGCCGAAGAGGAGCCGGAGGAGCAGATCTGATGTGCTGGGAACAGAAGCTCAGGTGGAGATCGAGAGACTGACCGCAGACGGACACGCAGCGCTGCAGAACCGAGACTATCCCGCCGCGCTGAGGCGCTTCAAGAGCGCGCTGAGAGCCGCCACTACGGTACTACGGGAATCATGCAAACTCAACCTGAAAGCAAAAATGACTTCACAATTAATGTACATATTCTTTTAATGAGCCACCTGTCATATTGCAGTGCAACACTTGAGACTTCCGATTCATATCATTTTTATTAGGTCAACTTTACCAGGAATTTTTTTGATCAAATCATGCACCTGTGATTGACATTATACTGACACATTTACAGGAAATACAAAATATTTTGAAATTTTTTTCCGATACTGATAATTCTTTATATTTATGTTTGAACGGATATATTAGCCGATAAATCTATATCCAAATTTGTATATAATTTTTGAGTGCGTGATTACAAAAAACAAAAGTCTCCCCATTAAAGCCATGTCCCAAACACACAATTATAATGTTCTCGTTATATTTGTATGACAGATTTGCGCTGCACGTGTTGCACTGAACTGTATTTTCCTTTTTTAAAAGTGATCTCAATCATATTTCAAGCTATTCAAAACCATCACGTCAAACAGTGCGCATCTGAAGCGTCTCAGCTGAAGGACAGAATACATTATTCATCGGCTTTAATATATATTACTATTATTAACTTTACTACTTTATTTTGCTCTCCTCACTTACAGAAATGTAGAACAATATCAAAAAGTATATCTGCACTGAAAAAAATATTTTCAAGATTTGTTATCACAACATATTTTTTATATTCATATTCAACTTTATAATAATTTATTTAGTTGAGATAACTTATTATTTTGAGTTTCAGATGGTTAAATTAATCTCCTTCATTGTATTAACTCACTTTTTCCAGTTTAATCAACTTAAAATTTTAAGGCAACCCAGGTTATTTACTTTCAGTTAAACCAACAATATTTTTTTTACAGTGTAGTAATCACAACATTTTTTCTTTTGTCTAATCAACTTATAAATTATTATTAACTCACTTTTTTAACTAACTTATTAACTCACTTTTTCCAGTTCAATGAACTTAAAATTTTAAGGCAACCAGGTTACTTACTTTTTTAAGTTAAAGCATCAATGTTTTTTCACAGTGTGTGGTCTGAATAATTTTTGATTTGGCTCTCTCTATATACAGTATAGAGCCAAATCCTCTCATACCAGCCAGAGAAACATAACAAATATCCTTGACGCTCTTATTCAGCTCAGAGAGAAGAGTCTTCAGAGGACGTGTGTGTTGAACCTGGGCGCTGCACTCGTGGAGGCGGGTGATCCTCAGAAGGGGCTCGAGGTGCTGTCCCGATCGGGAGAGCGAGGCGAGCGCATCGCTGACCTGCAGTTTAACCGGGCCGCGGCTCACGAGGCGCTAGGAGAGCACACGCAGGCCACACACAGATATCATCAGGCCGCGCAACTGTACCGCTCGCAGGGAGACGCCGGCGCCGAGGCAGAAACCTGCGTCAGACTGGCTCGCTCACACATGAAGAGGAAGGTAAAAGAAAAAACCTTTAAACTTCACCTGTAGTCAATCATTTTATCGAGCTGTGTTTGGTCTTGTGTTCCTGCATTTACTTAGTCCTCTAGATTGTGAGTGAAACAATGCAGTTAGTCTTATAGCAGAACAAACCTGTGTGTGTGTTGCAGGAGTGGGACGAGGCCGCGGCGAGTTTCCGGCGAGCTGCTGAGAGCTACAGAGCAGCGGGGAACACTCCTGCGTCTGCACTGGCACTGAAGGATGCTGGGAAATTCATGCTGAAGAGCGGCCACAACGCCACCGATGACATCATCAGCGTGCTGACAGACAGCCTGGAGATGAGCGCCGACATACCCGACCAGGAGACGCTGGGTAGTGTGTGTGCTTCAGTATGATCGATTAGTGATGTATACTAAACTCTAAAAATAATCTCATTTTAGCACCTTTATGTGATTTTTTGCCTTGTGACATTATTTTGCATGAAAATGAACCCCAATATTTATGTAGCGATATTCAGGAAAACAATAAATACTGAGAAAGAACATCAGATTTAGCAGTTTTTACGACTTCATACGATGCTTCAAATTCTGCTGCGCCATTAAAATGCAATGTATTAGCCACAAATCCAAGTTTTTCCATTAGATTCACTGCTAAACATTAGCTTGAAATTACTCTGTAGCTGCATTTAAACATGAAAATATGTGACTGAAATGGACCCATGAACACCATAATTTGTTTATAGAAATGAGAAATTTTGTAAGTGCCACAACAAAGCAGCGTGTCGAAAATTTTGTGTCTTTGATAAAAATCACAAAATATCATGAAAAAAATCATAGGTTAACTATTGTTCCCAACAACTTAGAAGAAGGCACTTCACATGTAGTAAAATTGTTGATCTGACGGCACTGATCAGATGAGAACAGAGCTGGATCTGAATAATGACTCTCTCTTCTTCTGTAGAGCTGAGTTTGTCTCTTATTTGATGAAGTTTGCATCACTGATTCTGTTACTTTCCTGTTTTTATATCAATTAATGTGACATGATTCAATTCACATGTTTGGTATCACGCTTTCACAATAAAAATAATTTTAAAGCAGCTTCACAGAAAGTGCATGAGTCCCTATTACAGTTTACAAGCTAAGTTGTGTATTTTAGAAATGTACATAATACAAAGTCACAGATAGCTAGAAATGTATTTATTTAAATAAAGTAGTTATTTAACGTGGACACAATGAGCTCATTGAAGTAATGAATACTTGTTTGTTACATTTAGGGAAAAAAAAATCAAAAATAGCTTGACACTTAATTATTCTGTTGAAATGCATGAAGTGATCCTCACCTGTGTTGCAGGGAAGCTGCTGAACGACGTGGGCTTGAGTTTCTCTCAGATGAGGCTGTTCTCCGAAGCGTCCGAGTGTTACGAGCAGGCTCTTCCTCTGGTCGCGTGTAAACCGCACAGACTGGCGGTGGTTCTGCAGAATCTGGGCGCTGTCCACAACACTCTGGGTCAGTACCAGCAGGCTGTGCGGTTCCACCGAGAGGCAGCGGCGCTCCACGGTGAGACACACACAGCAGAAAAATATGCATAATTATATACACACAGTAAAAAGTCAATGCAATGCAATTATTTTTTGTTCCATCATGCATCTACACTCATTGACGTGCTCATCATATTGAGTGATTACATAAAAAATTACCCCACAGAACAACATTATTAAAGAATTGTTATAGGACCTAAAATATATACATTTCAAAACATTTGTCTTCCAATAATATGAAAAAATAAAAAATTATGAAGTTTCTAAATAAAACTATCATTTAAAGCAGGATATTCCAATAAAATATGCTTTATAGTCAATGATGGTCTCTAACAATGTTCTCAAAACATTAGCTCAAAACATTATTTATTTATTTAACATCAACCATAGAAAGTTTTTAACTGAAACCTTTCAGTTGGATGTTCGTCTAACTTGTTTTGAAAGTTCAGAGAACATTTAAAAAGTAACATTCAAAAGTAACATTCAAAAGTAACATTCAAAAAGTAACAGATTCAAAAGTAACTTTTAAAAAGTAACATTTAAAAAGTAACATTGGAACACACTTCAAAATGGTGGCAGGGATTCCCCGAGAGGAAGCGCTTAAGGACGTTTGCAGGTGCGTGAATAAAAGTGGACTGGAACGCAGCCTAGGAATTACAATATGAAAGGGTCCAATTTAGAGCAGCAGATCGATTATGCACATCCCGTGTGCAAACTGATACACTTGAAGCAGCGCGAAGTCACAGCATGCAACGCTTCATATTTAAAAGTTTAACCACAAAGCAAAGATATATTTGATGCTGCTTAGTATATTATATCTATGCAACAGCTTATTATGATATGATGATATATACTTTATTGTCCCCGAAGGGAAATTTGTTGTGGACACTGTCCCTTCCATAGCTTTACAAGACAGCAAAAAAAAGACAATTCACAGCAAAAAAGAAAACACAAACAGATATTGCACACTCTCTGTATGGCCCTACATATTACATACTCCATAGAACACATAAAAATTACAGTTAACATATTGCACTCTCCCTTAGGCTCATTTACAATAAATACATAGTTGGCATACTACGCACCCTAGTACTGTATTGCACAATCCATCTGGCCTGCAGAATATACAATTAACATATTGCACATATTGTAGAATACACAATTAATATATTGCACCTCCTCTATGGCCTACAAATCATCCAAATGACCTATAACACACAACTCAACAACCAACATATCTTATTGAGACTTTTCTTTTAACAGTTTTAAATTTCAGTTACTGTGCTCATGAAAAACAATTCATAGTGCTCTCTACTCCAGTGCTGTAATCTAACAGACACCTGGGAGAAAAGAATATGATTTAGAAAGCGCAGTAAACTCCAGCAAGAGAATGTCATTTTATGCAAACCATAGACATTTATCTACAAATAAAGTATAATAGTGGGAACATTGATCTTGAAGAGAGTGTCGTCGTGTTACTGTCGTAACCGAAGGCGACGCGCTGTGTGAATGCTGAATGGAGAATGACTGAGGAGAGATGAGTTTCCATTAACTTTAAATTAACAACTTAAATATAAAATTTTTACCTCACATTATGCAATCGAATGACTTTAGAAGTCTTGGAATATAGTGGATGAAAACGTTATGTTTCGGGTTGCCGATGGCTTGCGGCTGGGCTTCTACAGCGCAGTTTCACACGCGGGGAGCAGTGCAGAGAGCTCCGGATCAGCAGCTTGCTCGGAGCAAGGATCACAGCGCATATTGAACTATATCGATATATGCGATATGGTCTAATTCCTTAACGCATTTAAAAATATATCAATATATTGCCCAGCCCTAGAAATACATTTTAAAAACACTTAAGAATGTTCACAGAGCCTTCAGAAATGGTATTTTCATATTTTTGTCAGCTGCGTAGATGGAGGTGCATGAATGTATAATGATTATTTCTGGTGCACCTGTAATATCGTGCATCTGAACACTTCGTGTCCGCAGGTTCTCTGGGAAGCCGTGGGGCTCAGGGTCGGTGTTTCAGCAATCTGGGTTTCGCTCTGGTGGAGTTGGATGAGCTGGAGGAGGCGTGGGAGAGTTACATACATGCTCAACAGGCCTTCAGAGACACCGGTACTGTACACACAAGAAATGGGTACTCAAGTTAGAGACTCAGACTCAAGTCACACTTTAAAAGACTTCACTTGGACTCAATAAACAGGACTTATGAACATTTTAAAGTCAACTCAAGTTTTAAAGAATGGGTTTATTTTAAAGGTTTTATAATATCTGCATGACACTTCCCTACAGGTCAAGTACTTTGGACCCTTTGATTACGTATGTTCATATATTGCTTGTAAACAGAAGTCATAATGGAAAGCCCATGTCACATGACAGGAACAACCATACCATACGTTCTTTCATCTGGGTTTATTAACAGCAAATCAGCTAGGTGCAAAGAATGTGGCAAACAATTAAAGACAACAATGAGATGTTGCATCCAATCCCATAATGTTAAGCCATTGGGTCAGTTGGTCATTCATGGCCATTTGAACACAAACATTTGCAACTACTTTCTGGAATTTGTTGAAAGGGAATAAGCTCAAAACATCCTTGACACCTTTACACCTGTTTTTAAGCTTACACTTGATCTGACCAACCAAAACTCATCTCCAGGTGTAAAAGTAGGAGAGAACAAAGCAGATTAAGTTAAACAAAGATGAAGTCATGCTAATGAAGTACAAAGAATATGAAGACTCCCAGTAGACACTTGAGGCTACAGGTTTGTTTATTATTTAAAAAACAAGTTCAGAAAACAAGGCAGAGTATGCAGCTATGACTTTACTTGATGCAACAACCTCAATATGCCTGGAAACAAATGCTTATTTTTAGCAGTCTGAGAGTGCAGAGGTGCTGGATCTTGAAAGCCAGGCTGGACAGACTGCATCAGACTCATAGCTTGAAGTGGTATTTTACTGGGTTGCGCCACAGGTTTGGAACCAAGACTGGAAAGAGACATGTAACTTGACTGCTCTGGCTTAGTAGAGACCTTGAATCTTGACTGTTGCGACATAGACTGGTAGCTGGCTTGTCCTAATTGCAGACTGCTGGGCTGGGACACAGACTGGTACCTGGCTTGGCCTGATTGTAGACCACTGGGCTGGGACACAGACTGGTAGCCGGCTTGTCCTGAATGCAGACCACTAGACTGGGACACAGACTGGTAGCTGGCTTGGCCTGATTGTAGACCACTGGGCTGGGACACAGACTGGTAGCCGGCTTGTCCTGAATGCAGACCACTAGACTGGGACACAGACTGGTAGCTGGCTTGAACTGATTGTAGACCACTGGGCTGGGACACAGACTGGTAGCTGGCTTGTCCTGATTGTAGACCACTAGACTGGGACACAGACTGGTACCTGGCTTGTCCTGATTGCAGACTACTGGACTGGGACACAGACTGGTACTTGGCTTGGCCTGATTGTAGACCACTGGGCTGGGACACAGACTGGTAGCTTGCTTGGCCTGATTGTAGACCGCTGGGCTGGGACACAGACTGGTAGCTGGCTTGGCCTGATTGTAGACCACTAGACTGGGACACAGACTGGTACCTGGCTTGTCCTGATTGCAGACTACTGGACTGGGACACAGACTGGTACTTGGCTTGGCCTGATTGTAGACCACTGGGCTGGGACACAGACTGGTAGCTTGCTTGGCCTGATTGTAGACCGCTGGGCTGGGACACAGACTGGTAGCTGGCTTGGGCTGACTGCAGGCCGCTGGGCTTGGACACAGACTGGTACCTGGCTTGGCCAGATTGTAGACCGCTGGGCTGGGACACAGACTGGTAGCTGGCTTGTCCTGATTGAGGACCGCTGGGCTGGGACATAGACTGGTAGCTGGCTTGGGCTGACTGCAGGCCGCTGGGCTTGGACACAGACTGGTACCTGGCTTGGGCTGATTGTAGACCGCTGGGCTGGGACACAGACTGGTAGCTGGCTTGGGCTGACTGCAGGCCGCTGGGCTTGGACACAGACTGGTACCTGGCTTGGGCTGACTGCAGCCCGCTGGGCTTGGACACAGACTGGTACCTGGCTTGGCCTGATTGTAGACCGCTGGGCTGGGAAACAGACTGGTACTTGGCTTGGGCTGACTGCAGGCCAATGGGCTGGGACACAGACGGGTACCTGGCTGGTCCTGATTGCGGACCGCTGAGCTGGGAGACAGACTGGTACCTGGTTTTTCCTGATTGCAGACCACTGGGCTGGGAAACAGACTGGTACCTGGCTTGGGCTGACTGCAGGCCAATGGGCTGGGAAACAGACTGGTACCTGGCTTGGGCTGACTGCAGGCCAATGGGCTGGAACACAGACTGGTAGCTGGCTTGTCCTGATTGCAGACCACTGGACTGGGACACAGACTGGTACCTGACTTGGGTTGACTGCAAGCCACTGGGCTGGGAAATAGACTGGTACCTGGCTTTTCCTGATTGCGGACCACTGGACTGGGACACAGACTGGTAGCGGGCTTGTCCTAACTGCAGACTGGTGGGCCGGGACAAAGACTGGTAGTGGGCTTGTCCTGACTGCAGACCACTGGGGCCATTAACAGACTGGTAGCCAGTTTGTGTTGGTCTTTGGAAACCAAGCTGTGGTACAAACTGGTTGCTGGCCTGTGCTGACGGTAGGCCAGACTCTGAACTGAATTGGGCTGGTTGTTGGTTGCCAGACTGGTCCACAGATTGTGAGCTGGCTTGGGCTGGCTCTTGGATGGCAGACTGGTCCACAGACTGAGAGCTGGCTTGGGCTGGCTCTTGGATACCAGACTGGTCCAAAGACTGAGAGCTGGCTTGGGCTGGCTCTTGAATACCAGACAGAGAGCTGGCTTGGGGTGACAGCAGACTACCTGACAGTTCAACAGATTGGGAGCTGGATTGGGCTGGCTCTTGGATGCCAGACTGGTCCACAGACTGAGAGCTGGCTTGGGGTGACAGCAGACTACCTGACAGTTCAACAGATTGTGAGCTGGCTTGAGCTGGTTGTTGGATGCCAGACTGGTCCACAGACTGAGAGCTGGCTTGGGCTGGCTCTGGGATACCAGACTGGTCCACAGACTGAGAGCTGGCTTGGGCTGGCTCTTGGATACCAGACAGAGAGCTGGCTTGGGGTGACAGCAGACTACCTGACAGTTCGACAGATTGGGAGCTGGATTGGGCTGGCTCTTGGATGCCAGACTGGTCCACAGACTGAGAGCTGGCTTGGGGTGACAGCAGACTACCTGACAGTTCAACAGATTGTGAGCTGGATTGGGCTGGCTCTTGGATGCCAGACTGGTCCACAGACTGAGAGCTGGCTTGGGCTGACAGCAGACTACTTGACAGTTCAACAGACTGAGAGCTGGCTTGGGCTGACTGCAGACCACTGGGCTGGGACACAGACTGGTACCGGCTTGTCCTGATTGCAGACCGCTGGGCTGGGACACAGACTGGTACCTGGATTGTCCTGATTGTAGACCGCTGGGCTGGGACACAGACTGGTACCTGGCTTGGCCTGATTGTAGACCGCTGGGCTGGGACACAGACTGGTACCTGGCTTGGCCTGATTGTAGACCGCTGGACTGGGACACAGACTGGTACCTGGCTTGGGCTGACTGCAGGCCACTGGGCTGGGACACAGACTGGTAGCTGGCTTGTCCTGATTGCAGACCACTGGGCTGGGACACAGACTGGTAGCTGGCTTGGGCTGACTGCAGGCCACTGGGCTGGGACACAGACTGGTACCTGGCTTGGCCTGATTGTAGACCGCTGGGCTGGGACACAGACTGGTACCTGGCTTGGCCTGATTGTAGACCGCTGGGCTGGGACACAGACTGGTACCTGGCTTGTCCTGATTGCAGACTGCTGGGCTGGGACACAGACTGGTACCTGGCTTGGCCTGATTGTAGACCGCTGGGCTGGGACACAGACTGGTACCTGGCTTGGCCTGATTGTAGACCGCTGGGCTGGGACACAGACTGGTACCTGGCTTGGCCTGATTGTAGACCGCTGGGCTGGGACACAGACTGGTACCTGGCTTGGGTTGACTGCAGGCCACTGGGCTGGGACACAGACTGGTACCTGGCTTGTCCTGATTGTAGGCCGCTGGGCCCAGACAAAGACTGGTAGCGGGCTTGTCCTAACTGCAGACTGGTGGGCCGGGACAAAGACTGGTAGCGGGCTTGTCCTAACTGCAGACTGCTGGGCCGGGACAAAGACTGGTAGCGGGCTTGTCCTAACTGCAGACTGCTGGGCCGGGACAAAGACTGGTAGCGGGCTTGTCCTAACTGCAAACCACTGGGGCCAATAACAGACTGGTAGCCAGTTTGTGTTGGTCTTTGGAAACCAAGCTGGGGTACAAACTGGTAGCTGGCTTGTGCTGACAGCAGGCCAGACTGTGAGCTGAATTGGGCTGGTTGTTGGTTGCCAGACTGATCCACAGACTGAGAGCTGGCTTGGGCTGACTCTTGGATGCCAGACTGGTCCACAGACTGAGAGCTGGCTTGAGCTGACTCTTGGATGCCAGACTGGTCCACAGACTGAGAGCTGGCTTGGGCTGACTCTTGGATGCCAGACTGGTCCACAGACTGAGAGCTGGCTTGGGCTGACAGCAGACTACCTGACAGTTCAACAGATTGTGAGCTGGCTTGGGCTGGCTCTTGGATGCCAGACTGGTCCACAGACTGAGAGCTGGCTTGGGCTGACAGCAGACTACCTGACAGTTCAACAGATTGTGAGCTGGCTTGGGCTGGCTCTTGGATGCCAGACTGGTCCACAGACTGAGAGATGGCTTGGGCTGATTGTAGGCCACTGGACTCGTCCACAGATTGCAATACAGCTTGTTCAGAGTTCTGGCTGCTGGCTTGAGATGACTGTTGGAGGCTAGGCTGAGCCACAAGTTGGTATCTTGCCTGTGCTAGCTGCACACCACTAGGCTGAACTGTGGAACCATCACGTGACTGCACTAGTTGTTGGCCACTCAGTAATGGCACAAGTCCATATCCAAATCTGGCTTGCCCTAACTGATACCTGGGTTGTGAAAACTCATTTCGCTGCTGCAAAGGCTTGACCAAAAAGGTAGAACTTGACAGCTGGACTGGCCCGTTACCAGAAAATAACTTGGAAACAACTTGAAGTCTACTTCTCTGAGGCTTGAAGATGGGCTGCACTGCAGACTGGTAGCTGCCTTCCACTTGTTGGCCACTGGACTGGGAGCTGTTCTGCACCATTTGCTGGCTACTAGACACCACGGACTCATTACTAGACTGTATTACAGTTTGATAGTTGAGCGGTGTTGGCCCAGGTAGAGACTCAATGGGCATACTTGCACTCATTTCAGTGGTCACAGAACCAGAAACGAGACTGTCACTACCAGCTGAAGATATCAGAGATCCTTGAAGTTGACTACTAGCATCAGAGTCAGTCCCATTTTGTGGACTATAGCTTGCACTGTTATACACACCCTTAACTTGTGCAGCACTGTAACTCCTTGGTCTTAAAAGACTGGTGGGATTTGATACATCAGCCCCATACCAGCTGTAGGAACTTCGTGGCTTCATATCCCGCATGGGGAAACCAGCCTCATGGTAAACAGGATAACCACTCCTGACAAAGCCACCAACTAGAAGAAAATAAAAAAGGAAAGAAAGAATCAGACACGTTAACAAATACTAATTATAGAGCTTGCCTGGATAAACCTTACCACTTCCAAAATGGTCACAGACACAAAGACTGAGAAGTGCCAAGGAAAAACTGTAGATGAAAAAAACAAAGCAAAACAAAAAAACATGTTAGATGAATGCCACTTGTAAACAAATACTACAATTTTTCATCATACCTTAAGAGTCGGCTAGTGGTACCCTCCATGGCCAAACAAAAATACAACAACGAACCACCTCAACAACACCAGTAAAAATTCATACAAAACATTCTTGACCACCAACACATATTAGTGTTGCTTGACGGACTCTTTATAGTGCCAGCAACTGCCATTTCCCAATTGTTTCTCTACAATCAGTTGTCATGGGAACATGTAATGCTCAATTATTAGGTTCAGGTGTTGCAACTATCATGACAGCTGCCGTTTCATTAAAGATAGAGTTGTTTTTTTTATATTATGATTACTAGACTAAAAGACAGCATGCAAAATACTTTTTGGGGATTAATTAAAATTACTTTAAATGTTTTTATTCATTGAGAATACATTTTAACATTTAAAGAAGCATTAGAATGCTCACTGTTCAAAATCTTAGCATTGATTTGGTCAAGCGGCCGTATATATTTTCATATCAAAATCTATTTTGTTCAATGATAACAGATGTTATAAATGATTTTTCTTTCAAATTTGGACTTATGGTTTTATGTTGTGTTAACCAATCAACAGATTTGTTTGGAGTATCTTTAGGAGTTGCAAAACTCATTATCTGCAATTCTCAAATGCGAAAATACAAATATCTTTTCGTCTTTATTGAAACTGTTTGAAAACTAGAGTACCCTGGTAATTTTCTTTCAGATTTGTCATGAATATATACATGTCAACATAAAAATCTGGCAGGACTATTCTTGTTAGCTTTCCTGTGGTGAAAGCTGTGTTCAGGTGAGACCCCCATTAGGTTTTATTTATTTATTAATTTTTATTTATTTATTTTTGTATTCAGCTGAATGGACAACTTTATTTTATAACAAAAAGACCAGGGCCCGTATTCATAAAGACTCTAAGAATCCTCTCAGAAAACACTTAATTTAGCTTTAATTCTTTTACCTAGTAGTCTCCGCTTAAGAGTAATTTGGGACCGATCTGAGAGCAACTCCGAGTAAGGTAAAGACTAAAGAAAGTCTTAAGCCTCTTAAAGTCTTTGTCCGTGCTCTTAACAATTTTGACCTTAAAACATCTTTTATGGGTTAATATGCTTTTTGACTTACATTCTTTTATTTTGAGAGTAAACGCCCACATTTCTAAGAATTTTCTTTGAAGTTTTTCACTAGGGGCTACACTTTTCATTAAGATTCTTTATGAATACAGGCCCAGGTCTTAATAGGAAATAAATATAAACACAAAGGGCTCAACACTATGGAGCTTATAAACATTTGAATAAATAATTTTAAATAAAGAAATAATGAGCTAATTACAATAGCCCAAATAAACGCATTAGAACAAAGATAAAAATTAAACAATCAGATTAAGTATAGGCTGAAATTCATGGTAAAGTACTTTCAGTATTCAAGTACAAAATACTACAGTAAAGACTAATGTACATATTTGAGCAGAGTTTTATGCTATTTTCACTTTAAGGGACAGATAACCATGAACTGGACATCAACTACTTCAGCATATTTAAGTACATTAATAGCATTTTCCATGCTTTTGAAACATTCATAAGGGGCTTTTTCTTTTTGAGGTTGAAAGCCCTCCCTACTACAGCCACTGGTAGGGCCCACCCCCCAAGCAGCCACCTACCTATGCCTCTGTTAAGACTGCCACCCATAATGTTAATGAATTGGTCAGTTGGTCATTCATTGCCATTTGAACAGATGAACATATGAGCATATACACTCTGGAAGTAATCTAGTTAAATGCATTCCACTACCTCTAAAATGTTGAGCTTATTCACTTTCAACAAATTCCAGACACCTTTACACCAGTTTAAGCATGCACGCTTTTGATCTGATCAAGCGAAACTTCTCTAGGTGTAAAAGTAATAGAGAACAAAGCAGATTGTTAAACAAAGGAAGTCATGCTAATGAAATACAAACAAAACGAAGACTCCTAGTAGACACTTGAGGTCACAGGTTTGTTTATTTTTTGCAAAAACAAAAGCTAACAGTAAATGAAGAAAACAAGGCAGAGTATTCAGCTATGACTTCACTTGTTGCAAAAACCTCAACATGCCTGGAGACAAATGCTTATGAGCAGTCTCAGAGGTCAGAGGTGCTGGATCTTGAAAGCCAGGCTGGACAGACTGCATCAGACTCATAGCTTGAAGTGGTATTTTACTGGGTTGCGCCACAGGTTTGGAACCAAGACTGGAAAGAGACATGTAACTTGACTGCTCTGGCTTAGGAGATACCTTGAATCTCGACTGTTGCAACACAGACTGGTAGCTGGATTGTCCTGATTGAAGACCACTGAGCTGGGACACAGACTGGTAGTTGGCTTGTCCTGATTGCAGACCACTGGGCTGGGAAACATACTGGTACCTGGATTGGGCTGACTGCAGGCCAATGGGCTGGGACACAGACTGGTACCTGGCTTGGGCTGACTGCAGGCCAATGGGCTGGGACACAGACTGGTAGCTGGCTTGGCCTGATTGCGGACCACTGGACTGGGACACAGACTGGTACCTGGCTTCTCCTGATTGCAGACCGCTGGGCTGGGAAACAGACTGGTACCTGGCTTGGGCTGACTGCAGGCCAATGGGCTGGGACACAGACTGGTAGCTGGCTTGGCCTGATTGAGGACCGCTGGGCTGGGACAGAGACTGGTAGCTGGCTTGTCCTGATTGCGGACCGCTGAGCTGGGACACAGACTGGTACCTGGCTTGTCCTGATTGCAGACCACTGGGCTGGGAAACAGACTGGTACCTGGCTTGGGCTGACTGCAGACCACTGGGCTGGGAAACAGACTGGTACCTGGCTTGGGCTGACTGCAGACCACTGGGCTGGGAAACAGACTGGTACCTGGCTTGGCCTGATTGAGGACCGCTGGGCTGGGACACAGACTGGTACCTGGCTTGTCCTGATTGCAGACCACTGGGCTGGGAAACAGACTGGTACCTGGCTTGGGCTGACTGCAGGCCAATTGGATGGGAAACAGACTGGTAGCTGGCTTGTCCTGATTGCCGACCACTGGGCTGGGACACAGACTGGTACCTGACTTGGCCTGATTGCGGACCACTGGACTGGGACACAGACTGGTACCTGGCTTGTCCTGATTGCAGACTACTGGACTGGGACACAGACTGGTAGCGGGCTTGTACTGTCTGCAGACCACTGGGCCCGGATAAAGACTGGTAGCGGGCTTGTCCTGACTGCAGACCACTGGGGCCATTAACAGACTGGTAGCCAGTTTGTGTTGGTCTTTGGAAACCCAGCTGGGGTACAAACTGGTAGCTGGCCTGTGCTGACGGCAGGCCGGACTCTGAGCTGAATTGGGCTGGTTGTTGGTTGCCAGACTGGTCCACAGATTGTAAGCTGACTTGGGCTGGCTCTTGGATAGCAGACAGAGAGCTGGCTTGGGGTGACAGCAGACTACCTGACAGTTCGACAGATTGTGAGCTGGATTGGGCTGGCTCTTGGATGCCAGACTGGTCCACAGACTGAGAGCTGGCTTGGGCTGACAGCAGACCACTGGGCTGGGACACAGACTGGTACCTGGCTTGGCCTGATTGTAGACTGCTGGGCTGGGACACAGACTGGTACCTGGCTTGGGTTGACTGCAGGCCACTGGGCTGGGACACAGACTGGTACCTGGCTTGTCCTGATTGTAGACCGCTGGGCTGGGACACAGACTGGTACCTGGCTTGGCCTGATTGTAGACTGCTGGGCTGGGACACAGACTGGTACCTGGCTTGGGTTGACTGCAGGCCACTGGGCTGGGACACAGACTGGTACCTGGCTTGTCCTGATTGTAGACCGCTGGGCTGGGACACAGACTGGTACCTGGCTTGGCCTGATTGTAGACTGCTGGGCTGGGACACAGACTGGTACCTGGCTTGGGTTGACTGCAGGCCACTGGGCTGGGACACAGACTGGTACCTGGCTTGTCCTGATTGTAGGCCGCTGGGCCCAGACAAAGACTGGTAGCGGGCTTGTCCTAACTGTAGACTGCTGGGCCGGGACAAAGACTGGTAGCGGGCTTGTCCTAACTGCAGACTGCTGGGCCGGGACAAAGACTGGTAGCGGGCTTGTCCTAACTGCAGACTGCTGGGCCGGGACAAAGACTGGTAGCGGGCTTCTCCTAACTGCAGACTGGTGGGCCGGGACAAAGACTGGTAGTGGGCTTGTCCTGACTGCAGACCACTGGGGCCATTAACAGACTGGTAGCCAGTTTGTGTTGGTCTTTGGAAACCAAGCTGGGGTACAAACTGGTAGCTGGCTTGTGCTGACAGCAGGCCAGACTGTGAGCTGAATTGGGCTGGTTGTTGGTTGCCAGACTGGTCCATAGACTGTGAGCTGGCTTGGGCTGACAGCAGACTACCTGACAGTTCAACAGATTGTGAGCTGGCTTGGGCTGGCTCTTGGATGCCAGACTGATCCACAGACTGAGAGCTGGCTTGGGCTGACTCTTGGATGCCAGACTGGTCCACAGACTGAGAGCTGGCTTGGGCTGACTGTTGGATGCCAGACTGGTCCACAGACTGAGAGCTGGCTTGGGCTGACAGCAGACTACCTGACAGTTCAACAGATTGTGAGCTGGCTTGGGCTGGCTCTTGGATGCCAGACTGGTCCACAGACTGAGAGCTGGCTTGGGCTGACTCTTGGATGCCAGACTGGTCCACAGACTGAGAGCTGGCTTGGGCTGACAGCAGACTACCTGACAGTTCAACAGATTGTGAGCTGGCTTGGGCTGGCTCTTGGATGCCAGACTGGTCCACAGACTGAGAGCTGGCTTGGGCTGACAGCAGACTACTTGACAGTTCAACAGACTGAGAGCTGGCTTGGGCTGACTGCAGACCACTGGGCTGGGACACAGACTGGTACCTGGCTTGTCCTGATTGTAGACCGCTGGGCTGGGACACAGACTGGTACCTGGCTTGGCCTGATTGTAGACTGCTGGGCTGGGACACAGACTGGTACCTGGCTTGGGTTGACTGCAGGCCACTGGGCTGGGACACAGACTGGTTCTGGCTTGTCCTGATTGTAGACCGCTGGGCTGGGACACAGACTGGTACCTGGCTTGGCCTGATTGTAGACTGCTGGGCTGGGACACAGACTGGTACCTGGCTTGGGTTGACTGCAGGCCACTGGGCTGGGACACAGACTGGTACCTGGC